ATAATTAGATAATTTTCTCAGTTTTATTAGATAATTTCGCAAACTGAGAAATTGTTAGTTTTGTATAAATAAAAAAATAATATTTTATTTTTATGAAATTTTATATTCAATATTGATCATGTTTGATAAATCTCATTGTGTAGACTCCAAAAATATATATTTATTAAAAATAAATGTGTATAATAAAAATTATGAATTTTGTAAGTTTTGAAAGAAAAAAAAAAGAAAGTAAAATTCCACATCAGCAATACTATTTGAATAAGAGAAAATATCTAGTACTTTTGAGGCATGGTTAGGTGATTTTCAAAATATTTATGATTGATGAGGAGGGTGGGGCCTACAATTTTGTATTAGGGCATAAGGTATAATACATGGTGATTAGTGGATAACATTGTCATGTGGTGCACTTGTAACACCTAATAATTTTCTACTAGCACTCAAGGAATTGACACAATTCCTTCTTCTTTTAATAAAGAGATGAGTTTTATATAAATAAATACTTTTAAAATAAGATTTTATGGGTTAACAAAAAAGAAAGAGAACTTAATGGAACATGAACATTCCCAATAGGACTTTTAAGTAATTAACCCAATTATTAGGACTTCTTCCTTAAAATTTAAGAAAAACAAAAAGAAAATTTGATATTGAAGATTAAATTTAAAAACAAAAAATTAATAGAGCAGCGATGTATACTGACAAAATTTGTATAAATTTTTTGGGTTTAATGCGTATCTTTCCCCTAAAAAAAATTGTAGATGATTTTCATTTGTAATAAAAGGCAAATTGAATCCCTAGTCGTGCAGTTTGCTTCTTGTCTCAAATCAATTTGATTCTTGAAGCTATAATTGTATCAACTTTTATCCTTTAATTTTACACAATGCATGAATTAAGTGCAACGGATAATATCTATTAAAAGATTAGACCAAAATCAAATGCAAAATAATTCATTCAAAAGGGAATAGATCACTCACACTAATCCCTTAATTAGTTTGAGAATAATAAATTGACTATTTTAGTCTTGATTTTAATCCAATTTCTAAACACTGAAGAAAGGTAAAATACTGAATAAAATTGACTTTAAGAGAACATGATTTCTTTTTTTAAAATTGACTTTATGAGAACATGATCTTTTTTTTTTTTTATTATCAAAACTCTCAAATTTTGAATTTTTCAGATTCATTTCAATTTTCAGATTTTGAATTCAATCATACAGTTTACAGTCTTATTTTCTGGAACAAAATGATCATATATATGTAAGCATGTGGACCTCGAATTGAAATTGCCAGTCCACCTTAATTCTCAATTCATGAATTTCATAATATGAATTTCAATTCTCAATTCTCAATTATATGAATTTCATAATATGACATTAACAATTCTGAATTATATGAATTTCAATTCGCATAATTTTATTCTTAATTAAAAAAAATTCCTTTTATTAACAAGCAATTTTATAAAATTTCCAATTCAACAAATATACGTTGGTTTATTCACAATACAAAATTTCAAACCCTAATTTCAAAAAATATACAATAATTTCAACAAATTGAAAACCATAATTTCAAAAAATTGAAAACCCTAATTCCAAACCCTAATTTCAACAAATCGAAAACCCTAATTCCAAACATTAACAATTACGAATTATATGAATTTCAAGTTGCATAATTTTATTCTTAATTAAAAAAAATTACTGAAAACCATAGAGCATAATCATAAACCCTAACATTTTACAATTCAAAACCCTAATTCCAAACATTAACAATTCTGATTAACAATTCAAAACCCTAACACATTTATAATTTCATTTTGTTCCAAACATTAACAATAAACTAACCTAATCATAATTTATGATTTCACAATTCAAAACCCTAACATTTTGTGTTTGGTAATATTTACGTTTTCAGTTTATATTTACAAAAATTTTATAAACTGGTTTTTGTTTATTTTTAGAAAAACATAAACTACAAACGCGTTTGGTAATTGACAAAACGTTTTAAAAAATTTAAAAATATGAAAAAGAGTGAAAAATGGCAAGTGGTGGCAAGTGGCGACGGAAGACGGTGGTGGAAAGTGGTGACGGTGGGTGGTGGGTAGCTAGTGGTGGCGTGTGGGTGGGTAATGGTGGCAGGTGGTGGGTGGTAGCGAGTGGGTGGCGGTGGTGGCGGTGGCGATGGCGGGTGATGGTGGCAAGTGGGTGGCGAGTAGATGACGGGTGGTGGTGGTGGTGGGTGAGTGGGTGACGGTGGCAAGTAGTGGGTGGTAGCGAATGAGTGGTAGTGGTAGCGGGTGGTGGGTAGGGGTGGTGGTGGATGGGTAGGTGACGTGTGGGCAGTGGGTGATGGTGGTGGTGGTGGTGGTGGCGAGTGGGTGGCACGTGGCTGGTGGTGGTGGGTGGCTGGTGGTGGCGGGTGGGTAGCGGATGGCAGGTGGTGGTGGTGGGGGGTGGGTGACGGTGACAGGTGGTAGGTGGGAGCGAGTGGGTGATGGGTGGTGGTGGCAGGGGGGGGGTGGGTGGTACTATGGAAGTTATCATAATATGACCATGTGTTAAATAAATTTTCTTATCCTCTGAATTTTACTGTTGCACGAATAACGCTAACTGTTACTGCATGAATAACATATTTTATAAGTATGCTTTTACTGTGATGTAGACAAAGGCATATGTCATCCGACAGAGAAAACAATACAATGGAGCTCTCATCAGAGGAGGATGAGGTTGTTGATGATTTTATGGATTTCTTGATGATTGCTGTAATGCATGACCATATCAACGCGTCAAGTAGTCGCCGACCGCAGCGAACGTGTCCATTCAGAGGTGATGATTACATCTTCGGCCTATTAAATGGCCATCCAGAAACAATGATAAACGTTATGCGAATGGATGCACAAACATTCATTTTATTGAAAGACACTTTACTCCATAATGGCTTTATCGATACTGAACATATGCATATCAGTGTGGAGGAATAGCTTGAAATTTTTTTATACACTTTTGCACAAAATGATCGCCATCGAATAATGGCAGATAGATTTCAACACTCCACGGAATCAATTTGTCGGCACATTAAAATTTTTGTAAATATAAACAGAAAACTGAAAACGTAAGTGTTACCAAACGGCATGATTTCATAATTTCATAACCACACATTTAAAACTCTAACACATTTCATAATTCCAAACCCTAACACATTTAACCACACATTTCATAATTCAAAACCCTAACACATTTATAACTTCATAACCCTAATTTCTAATTTCAAATTCAAAACCAAACATTCACAAACACAATAAACACATAAGATTGAAATGAGACACAGAGAGATAGATGCTATACCACAAACAGAGAGAGAGCAGAGACAGAGAATGAGAGCAGAGTGAGAGTCTGAGAACAGAGGAAGAGCTTGAGCAAGCAGAGGAGTCGTCTGAGAGAGAGGAGAGCAAAATAAGTGTAAAAACGTGATTGCAAATGAGGGGCTTTTCCGTGTTTTATATATATTGTAAAAACGTGGTTCCAATCCACTCTTTCATTAATGAACAGTGAAAGCGTGATTGTGAATCACGTTTTCTTAATAAAATTATATGAACAGTGAAAGCGTGATTCACAATCACGTTTTCTTCAGAAAAAAAAAAAAAAAAAAAGTTTATATGCACAAACCACGCTTTCTTCAGAAAACGAATTAAACGAGATGCACAGTGAAACCACGCTTTCTTCAGGAAAAAAAATTTATGTTAAAAGCGTGATTTACAACTACGCTTTCTTAATTAAAAGCGTGGTTTGTAATAGCGCTTTTACTATTCATCACATTTTAAGTTCCAAACAGTGAAAACGCAATTTGTAATAGCGCTTTAGCCTAATTTAAGAATTTTGTCTAAACTGGATCTAGCTTAAAAATTAAAATACAAAATAAACTTAATATGGGAAAAGCCTCCAGTTATGGATAGTCATTGGCTGACACATCATCAAAATTATTATTATTTTTTTTAATTTTTTTTTTCTTTAAAACACTTGTAACTAAAAACATGATCTAGTAAAGTGTTTTGACTTTTCAACGCCTGAGCAAATTTAGAAAGAGGGATTTTTACACATTTCAATATAATAATAATAACAATAAAATTGGGAATTACAAATACCCAAAATAAATTATTTGTTAGTATCCTCGCGAAGTTAACTTGCATAGATTAAGATAGAAGAAAAAAAATCAATATTCGAAATCAAAACACAAAAAAAAAATAATAATAATAATAAATAAATAAACAAATAAATACTAAAAATTGGTCTTGTCCGGTGATATTTGCGGCGATAGAAGTGATAGTTGACATTGATAAATTTTAATTTATTTTTACCTTTTAAGAAGTAAAAATATTTTTCGTCCACGTAGGCTTTTTTTTTGTTGATTGGTTACATAAAACGTTACCGTCCGTTGACTTTCATCTCGTGTTGCACCAAACTCAAAACAAATGTGAAATAATTTTCAAAAAATATTTTTTGTTCAAACAAATGGAGTGCCAGCAGAGATTAGTTTTACAAATTTAACTCGTGAACAAAAAAAATTCAAAACACTTGGTATTTTTAATTAAGGGTGATTTTTTTTTTCTTTTATATTACATGTTAATGCAATAGGAACTAGACATACAATAAAAAACACAACATGATAATATGAAAAAATAATTGAGTTAGGTTAGTGTTAAGAAAATTACATGAACTCCCGAAATTAGCAAGAACACGAATCACAATCAACATAACAAAAATTTAAATATTGTTCTAAATATATTTTAGATCTACTTTTATTATTTCTGATAATTGAGTTAACATTTTCTATTAATAGTTAGATAGGAATTTTGAGCTCTTTTACTTTGTCAAGCTTCCTAAACAGCAAAGCAACCGACTTGAAAGGCTGAGATCGAAAACTAATGCGGTATGAGAAAAGACACTCATCTTATTATTATGAGAATTTATTATGTTTATTATTATTATTATTCATTGGGGTAAAATGCAGGAGTAGGAAGAGTAATTTACCATTTTCATTATAATTGGGCTATGATTGATTGTTTGGTTCCACAATTTGACTGGGCAGAGCACAAACAGAAGCATAAAATTGCACAAAGTCTTGCCCATGTAAAATTTGGTTTCAACAAGCTATCCTTTTTCTTCTAATACAAAAAATAGGAACTACAAGAAAATGTTATTGGGCCGTTTCCATCCCCTCACTTTGGAATGTCTTGTCTACTGCAAAATCATCTACAGAAGCATAAAAAAGTAGTAACCAAAAGCAACTGAAATATACTACTAAAGCAAAATGGAATATCCCCAAACGGTACACCAGTCAGCAATGACAGCTCTCTAAAGCAATGGTGACACTGTTTCCATCATTGAAGCTTGACCAAGGGTGCAACGTAAATCTTCTACGTCAATAGAGCACTCAACTGCATGCCGAAAAGATCACCAAGGGCTCCGCGAACATCCATCTGAACAAATAAATAAAGAAATAATCAGATTTGCAGAAAACAGCTAATGGTCTCTATCATTACCAAGTCATATTTAAGCAAGGGGGGAACTCGTAACTTAAAAATCTGTAACTCAATTGGACAAACAAATTGTGTGGATATGAATGCAACAATTGGTATAAGCAAAATAAGTTCACTGAAAGAAAATTTTCTTCTTTAATTTTTTTCCCAGCCACTTGCTTGGGGTTGCAGTGTCAACCAACAAAATTATTGAGCAGGTCTCAAATAGCATTCAAGATTTGTGGAATTATTATGTTGCAAAAGTTAAGACACGAATGATCAAATCTTCAGCCTAAACTAATACACCATGGTATCAGGTACTGGCTTTTGCCAGCAAACCACCACTTGAAAAAGGAATTTAATTTATGCAGTGCCCAAGAGAGCAAAGCAAGGTAGTAGTATATCATCAAATCGTCAACTGTTTTATAATACACCATGGCATTAGCTATTAGCTTTTGCTAAGCCTGCAAACAACCTCAAAAGGAAATTTCAATTAAAGCAGCGCCTACAAGACCAAATCAACACAGTTAGATGTTACGTTCTATAACATGATGCTCAGAGGATGGCTTTTAGCACTATCATCTTTACCAAGTAAAACAATGTCCAGCCGTCCTATATACAAAGGAAAATCCTAAACAACCAGCCTTATTTTTGGAGAGTTGAATCTAAATAATTGCACCTTTTTCACAAGCAAATGTTTTTTGCTCCAGAGGAAAATCCATGCGGTGCCTCAGCATGATATTCATTGGTTGAAAGAATGGGACCCAATACTTTTTGGGGAACATCTTGACAAATGTCAAGTGATAAATGGTGTGGTGCAATGCTCCAGACCACAAAATAATCACTCCTGTTTCACAGCCCTACAATTATAGCAAGAAAACATACTCCTAATATATGATGGGTATTGGGACTAAACTAGCTATTGGAGATCACCAGGGGTATGGACGAGAGAACATCCATAAACCTATATGTATTTTCTATGCCACCCAAAAGATGGAGAAAGGAAATGAGAGCATATTTTCAGGAGATAGAATAACCAATGTTCAACTAAAAATGTTAGTGGGAGATTACCTGGTCACAACATACAAGTTTAGTAATGAAGGGATAGAACTGTCTCAGGTGTTTTCGAAATATCTGGCTGTTCATAAAGCACATGCCTTTAAGCACCTGAAAGACCAAAAAGCACGTAGTTAGGGAGAGATATATGACTACGGCTAGTAGTAAAATAAAACCCCAAAAACTGAGGCACACCTTTGTTAAATTGCGATCATTAAACACCAACCAGTCAAATAGGAAAACATAGAAAGAGACAAAAACTGAAGAGGCAAAGAATCTAGACGAAGAATAGAATTTTGCTGTGGTCCTTCCTGGAAACCAAACCAAACTAAGCCTTGTGTCACAATCAAGTGCGATCAGCTACATCAATTATTTTCCGTCACTCTGCTCTGTCAAGGGTTATATGTTCAATTAAATTAAATAAATTCATTATCTTTTATGTACTATCACATCTCATGTGAGTGTAGGTCTTCTCCTCCCCTAAACATTTCCATTTATGATGATCATATCACTCTTTTTTATTGTTGCATCTATAAGTTTTTGTTGTACATGATCAAATCATCTTTGCCTATTCTCTTAACTTATTTTCAATTGGCGTTACTCTTACCATTTTGCGAATATATTCATCTGAATAACATTTAATTATATCTTTTCTAATCTTACCACACATCCATATAAACATTCTCATCTCAATTACACTCATTTTATAAACGTGTTATTTGTAGTTGCCAGATATTTTGTCCCTTAAAGTATCGCTTGTCTTATTGATAACCAAATTAAAACCAAACCAAACTAAACCTTGTGAATCATTTTTTCTTTTGTAATTTTGCTTTGTCAAGGGCTATATGCTGAGTTAAATTAAATAACTTCATATCTTCTTTTAGTAGTGCATCCCATGTCAATTTAGATCTCCCTCTCCCTTTTAACATTTTCATTGATGGTGATCATATCACTTGTCTTATAGCTATTCTATAAATTTTTTCTTTCAATTTTATTGGTATTTGTCGATCACATAATATGCTAGAAGCGGTTCTCCACCTGAGCCAACTATTTTGATTTAAGATCACATCATCACCAACCTTTCCATCCTTATTAATAGTCGAACTTGGGTAATGATAATGTTTATTTTGTTATCTCTTTTGGTTTTCAATATTGTTACTAAAGTTACATTTTTTGTTCTACTAATTCTAAATCCTTTAGACTCTAGCACATCTTTCTATATTTTGATTTTAGTTTCAATTTCTCACTTGGTTTTATCACTAGAACAATATCATGTGCGAACAACATACACTATGAGACATCATTTTGAATGTATTTAGTTAATCCATTTATAACTAAGGCAACTAGGTAAAGGACAAAGCTGACCCTTGATGCAATCCTACAGTTGTTCAAAACTGACTAGTTTCTCCTATAGGTGATCTAATTGTAGTCGCAACCTCATTGCACATATCCTTTATTGCATTAATATACCATTTGGTCACTCCTTTTTTTTTCTAATACCCACTATATTATGTCTCTAGATACACTATCATAATTTTTTTTGCCCCCTAAATCTATAAAAATTCATATGAAGATTCTTTCTCTTCTCTTTGTATTTCTCAATTAATTTTATTAGTAAATATATCTCTTCCTTAGTTGATCTACTTACTGGGCATAAATCCAAATTGGTTTTCTGACACTGTTGTTACATTCTTGAAGATGTGTCCTCTACACCGTTATGACACCACCATACAGTGTCCTCTACATGGTTATGACACCCCCATACAGTTCCTCTACAACGTTATGACACCACCATCCAGTGTCTTCACCAATGGTCTGACACGACCATACAGTGTCTCTTATCCTCTTTTATTTTTATGTATTTTCTTGTTTTGTTACTCTCTCCAAACTCAAGTTGGTTAGTTTCTATCCTCCTTGAGTTTGCGGGGGGCTGTTAAAATTTACCATCACCTACCACCAATTTACCATCACCTACCACCACCTACTCCTCACCTACTCCTCACCTACTACACTCACCCTCTCCTATATAATGAGCCACTCACCATTTGTAATACACAACAACACAATACATCAATCAATAATACATTTCTCTATTTCTTTTTATACATTGCATTTTTTACACGATTATTTTCTTGAACTTGTGAATTTCTCTACATTTGAAGCAACCATTTTTTATTTGATCAAAATCTTCTTGTTCTTAGAAGTTTTTACATGTGTTTTAGAGATCTTAATGATTGTGACATTAAGAAGCCTCTTTGGTATTCCCAAGATCAAGAGAGAGATCTAAGAAGGATTCACTTTGCTCTTGCCATGGCTTGTTAACCAAAAAAAAATGAAAAATAAAAGAAAAGAAAACTTCAATCATTATTGTATAAATAAGTGGTTATCTTCAAGAGAGGAAAGAAATAATCAAAAAACCACCACACTTGTTGGCTGCATATGCCCTACTAGACATGTCAGACAAATATCTATAGCCTCACCCAAGTTTGAGTGTCTGAAATGGGTATTTTACAAATTTAGAAGAGTCAATGTGCCAAGGATATATTTAATAAATTGGTATTTTGATTGGCAGACATCACATAAAGCAAAAAGCTCCAAAACATCACACATTAATACCTTGACAATGATTGGAGAACGCAATTCTAATACTCGATGAATATCCATATTAGTAGTCTCCCCCAAGCTGGATTGAAAATCAGATGCCTCCTTGAGAACCTGTCCACAAAAGGACACTAGCTTCTCTTCCGCTATGGTTTCAAGTTTCTCCCCCATACCATGTTCAGTGAGGCTTGAGTCATTTCTCACCAAACTACTACCCACAACCTGAGAGACATTGTTATCAAGTTGTTCCACTCCGTTAGAATCAACTTCTGAAGTTGTTTTATGTAAGATGTCCAAATAAATGCAAGTTCCAGCTAATTCCTGACGAAGAAGATTTAAGGGTGGCCTGTAAAATGATAAAGTAAGTTGTCAGACAAGGTTCCTGTAGTTTAAGGAAAACAAACTCAACAACAAGAGAAACAGAACAAAATGATCTAAAAAACAAAGGCAAAGCATACCTTTCCGCAGGTATGTGATGCATCCGCAATCTGAGGTTGGTATATGAATTATAAGATGCAGCAAACTCTAACACAGAGAACAAAATGTCCATTATGGCGATCTTTTGTGATGACTTCAACTTGTTCCAGTATTTCTTCTGCATGTTAAAGAGATGTAAATGTAAAAGCTCATCTCATTTCACAACAAAACAAAGTAGTTCTCCGACACTTGCTGCCCCATTTACTCTCTCTCTCTCTCTCACACACACACACACACACACACACTCATATCTGTGATTTCTTCTTTTATACTTTTCTTCTGGAGGGGAAGGGTGGCTGATATTCTGTTTTTGCATAACAATCTTAAGTTCCTGATGTCTACTGAAATCAGATAAGCATCACAAAGAAAAGATACATCATTAGTTCTTTCAAAATGCAGTTATAAAACAGTCAGTGCCTTGGCAAGCTGAAAGCTTCGAAGAAAAATGTACTTAAGTGAAATGTTATTCCTTTTGTCAAGCAAGTTTCTAATAATTTTTTCCTGTCCTCCATACTAGCATTTTTCAGAGACTAAATATTAGCTTCACACAATTCTCTGTGACCCTTTAAACAATTGTGAAAAGTAACTTTATTAAAGAGAGTGCCAATGGGGCACCACCATGTTCAAACAGAGAACAAGAAAAAAGAAATAAATAACCCATACTACCCAACTCTTCTTGCTACCAAACTAAAGGACCTCTTGCTGCACTTTTACTACTACAGCTTTCTTTATCAGTTCCAAAGAAGCTAGTTCCTCATAGTCCATCAAAGCAAGCCCAACAATTTTATCCACACCTTGAAACTTCTAATTAACCCACTCTGACATCACTTACTCCTTCCCTTCACCAGCATCTGCAGAAGGTTTAACTCCAGAAAAAATAGATCATTTTAAAAATGAGCATTATTTAAACAGACCATAAGGCATGCTTAAATGATCCCAAATATTAAAATGAGCTATTCATTTTTTGACATAGTATTTCAATGCAAACATACATCATTATAAATGAAGCTATATCTGAAAAAAATGATAGCCATCCAAAAATTTATGCTTAAAATCTTGAATTTTGTCTTTTCAAGAAACACAAAAATGGCTCCCTTCAAAATGATGCACCCCGGTTTGGGAATAGGCTATTTTAGTTGGCTATTTGGCTTTTTTAGTGTGGCTAAAAAAGTTGTGTTTGGGATGATAGTTGATTTTTTTTATAGTTGATTTGATGGTTGTGAGAGAAAAAATAAAATGATCATGAGTTGGATGTAATATTTCGTCTTATTAGCTATTTTAACCTATTTTGTCTTCATTGGTTATTTTAGCCAAGTAGCCTCCAGCCAAACAAGGCCACACTAAACACCCAAACCGGTCCATATAGTATTCTAGTATATAAGTGCATCACATTGAATGGATCCATTATTAGGAATCCAATTTATAGACAATGACCGATAATTAAGAATGTTTGGGTTGGTTTGGTAAATGGCATTTTTTAGCTTTTTATAAATAAATAAAAAAAATGCAAAAAGTAGAGAGAATGGGTTGACTTTTTGTAGTGGCTTTTTGGCTAATACTTCAACTTCCCAAACAAGGTATAAAATTCATAATTACCAGTCACTGTTTATAAAGTTGACTCCTAATTCACTCTCCAAAGTAAGGTAAGATAAACCTTTTTTTGAAAAAAGTTTTCAACTATACAAGGGCTATCACCTTCCATGAAAAATAAATCATAGTAGGTGTAGTGGAGGTGATAGTGGGTTAGGTGAAGTGGAGTGTGTGGTGAAGTGGAGGTAGGTGAAGTGGAGTGTGTAGTGGAGTAGGTGAAGGTAAAGATGGGAAATTCTAACATAGTACTACATAAAGACAGAGACTATGTAAGTGTTGTTTCACTATTGGTCCAAAGGTAAATGGCATAAATGGCAAATCTCCATTTCATATAATGGGAGGAGATCTAACTTTAGATAAAAGAATGAAGGGCATATACGTAGAGAGAAAAACAAAAAGTAGCGAACCACCTCTTTGTTATAGGTTCTCAAATAACTCTTCAATGCTTTTTCGGATGTTTTGTTCATTACAATGAAAATATTAATTTCAAAATATAATAAATCACATCCCAAACATTATAAATAATTATCTTCCCATGAGAGACGGGCCTCGAGTACGAAAAATAGTTAAGTTGGATATCCATCAGTTTCTGAAATAACAAAGTAAATTACATGATTTGGGGGACTTGAAAGAAGCAATTATAAAAGAATTAAATTCACACAAGCAACAACAAGAGATACTAACTAAAATGATGAATTTATACAAGAAATACATCAATACCTGAATACTATCAATAGCACCTAAAAGTAGTAATTGAGTGATGCATTTGCTCCTAATTGTTGTCAGTAATGGACTTTCATCCTCATCTTTGGCATCCGACTCAGACTCCACAACATCAGCAAACTAAAATGGCATTAGATCAAGAAAATAAGAAAGGAGAAACACCATGTAACTTAATTTGATTCAAAATGAGGTTCATTATGAATATGTTTTCCATTCAAAAGGCATAAGCGAGGATATTTCTAAAACCATAAATATATTACCAATTCACATAAAAATTAAAATAAAAAAAAAATACTCCCTCCGTCCCAAAATAATGGTCCCTTTTGGGGAATCCAACTTTTTTTAGTAGTACAATTATTGCATTTGAAAAAAAGTTGATTTTCCAAAATTATCCTTTTGATAGTACATTTTTTGGGAATATCAATGCATAATTGTACTTTTTATGTTGTTTATTAATTTATTGATTCAAAATGAGGTTCATTATGAATATGTTTTCCATTCAAAAGGCATAAGCGAGGATATTTCTAAAACCATAAATATATTACCAATTTACATAAAAATTAAAATAAAAAAAAAATAATATAAAATTTGACCAAATGATTTGCAAGAACTCACCCCAAGAACTCAACACATGGCATCTTCATACTACGAGAAGTAAAATTTCTCAAGGAAATGGAGAAAAATACAAGTAGAAAGCTCATCACATTCACAATCAATAAGATCCACCGAGTGAGAGAGAGAAAAAACAATTTCCTAACTGGAAAAATCATAAAAGAAATGGAAAAAATCATATTGATCACGGACTTAATGTGCAATTAAAAATCAAGCTGGCCTTGCAAAGTGCAGTTCCAAACAATTGGCTTCATGATTGGAAAAAATACTACCACATTTATGGTTGCTTAAAATGAATGAACACGAATCAACCCTATAGGAAACCTCTAGTAGCAATGGTTTACAACAAGAGCCAGGTTCATTCCTAATATTCTTTTAAAAACATCAAAACTGTGCTGCAGTTAGCAAGACAACTTTTTTCACTCATTTTTTAAACCAAACTCGATGTAAAGAAGACTATAGGGTTTGCCTAACTTACAAGGCAATCTCATATAGTCACAAAAATACAACCCAAAACTGAGCAAAGAAGTGCAATTCCAATGTTGACAAATTGAGCTTTGTTCCACCCAGTTAATCCTCTAGTAAACCTTTTCTATCACCAAATCCCAGAAGTCTTCAGATCTCAAGTTGCCACCTACATTGCCTGGACTCAAGATAGGGTCTTGTGAAGGGGTGCATGCTTCAACTACTTAACTATGTATCTTGAATTTGACTAGAAGTGTAAGGCTAAGTAGCAGGAGTACTCTTACCTTCTACTCTTTTCTAGTATACCTAGGCTAAAATAAAGTATCCATTCAATGAACTGGGAAAACAAGGTTTAGTGAAGAGTAACATAATATGTCTAGTTATGATATTCACTATTCCTGGTATATATATAATCTATGGAACATTAGGAGAAAATAAATATATATATATATATATATAAACAGCTAACTTTCAAAAAAATAAGAAACAGCTAAAGAATTTTGAGCAAACCACAAATTTGTCGGCTTTTTTCTTTTATCGACCCAAAAAAAAGATGCCAATGATAAAAATTATACTGCTTCAGAACACTTACGTTAATCATCTACCCTTTTTAGTTATTGGGAAAACCCAAGTAGTTTCCTTCAGATTTAGGAAACAACTCTGCTTGCATTTCAAGTATTATTGTTTAGGTAGTCCTACCATCCATTCATTGTGAACTACTCTCTTTTGTTCACCTCTCAAAAATGACATGCATGATTTGTGATTCACAAAGAGGAATGTTGTAGAAATGGCTCTCCTAGAAGGGTGATTCCACAAGTGGGATGGAAAACCCTAGGGTTGGCCTCGTGGCCAAAACCTCACTAGGAAGGAGCAACAAATTTTAAAGGTCAACTAGACCAATGCAGGTGTAGTTGACCTTTGAAATCGGTTCTTTGATCCACTCCACTTGCAATGTGGCGTTCTTAAAATCTTTCAAAGTGAAGGGCGCACTATCAAAGTACTCTGCAGTGATTCTCACTCTCCCAAGGTCAGTCTTATGTAACATCTCCCAAACAAGCCAAAAGCATCAAGAACAAACTTTTTTTTTATTGGCACTGGGGTGTTCGGATCAAACCCGACTAATCCCCAGGGGTGCACAGGCTCTCAGCAAGGAATCAAGAACAAACTTTTTGAAGGAGCTGAACATTTTCAAGTGAATCAACATGCTAGGCATGTGTTGAAATATGTAGAAAAACCTACTCCAATGTTCAGGTATTGCCTCTGCCGAAAGGACAAAAGGAAAAATTCTCACCTCCTCCCCGCTCGTACCCCCAGGGAAACCGAGGCATCCTCAAATTGAGTAACCTTGGATGCATAAAAAAGCAAACCACTCCCCCACCTACATTGCAAGGAGACAAAGCAACCACATCACCCACTGATGCAGCCAACTCATGATTGACTCTGAAACAATCTTTGTAACTTCCACCCGACCAATCTCCTCTCGACTCAGCTCATCCTAGTTCCCCCCTTCAAAAGAAGATGCATCACCCTCATTTCCAACAGGTTGGCCTTACGATGATTTGAGCCACAACACTTTGCTCCAAATCATTTGGTGCTTCGACCCTAGTTTCAACACCTCACTCAGCTAACTTGTTTTCCACTACCCTGGTGGTGAAAACCTCCTCTCACACGTCCCTAACTTGATTTTCTTCTCTATCTTCTCACTCCTCCATTAAAGTGTAGCGATCCAAAGCATCTTCGCCACCCCCTTCACCTGTTCCCTCCCCTATCCACCTGGACAGTTCAACAAAAGATTTCCCCTGACCATGTTTGGGCATGGGGTGCAAAACTAGCTTATCCAGTTCCAGCCAGACCCCCACACTATGAAGCACAAACACTTATCTGGAGGTGATGTGCAAGTGTCTGACACGTGTCAAACACGAACACGTGCCAAACATGCTAGAGAGAGTTGGGCACGCTGAGGACACGTTGGGACATGCTGAAGACCATTTTTTTTATAAATAAAAAATAAAAAAAATTATTTTATTTTTATAGCTAAAATAGCATACCTAAAATTGATAAATTTGATAGTCCTTTAGCTAGATCTTATCTTAGTGCAACAACTTCATTGGTCAACACTTCCCCCAAGACCCTCAAGACCTCCAAGGGGTTACTTGGGGTGGACAACCCTCCCTCAGCCATGACCTACTCAACCTCGGTTTCCTCTACATCCACAACTTTGGCACTTTGCAGATCCCGTAGTGACATTTCCTTCACAACTCCCATTGGCCAATATGTTTCCCTTTACCCAAGCTAAAACCCTCTCTGCCCTACATCAATAGAGTAGTTAGTCATCTTCAAAAGCTAGCAAAAGGAAAGAAACAAGCATAAGAACCAGCTACCTTCTTCCGTTCATTGGCCCCACGAGCAATGCCAAGTTGGGCAGCCCTCTTCACATTAAGTCCAGTAACCTTCACTCTAGGTTGGTGGCACTCTGTCGTTGATACCTTTCTCCCCCTGAGCAATTGCTTACCCATCAGTAGTCTCCCTTCCCTCACCATTAATGGCTTAGTCCAGCAAGACTCTAATAATTTCAACACAATCAGCATGGGAATGCCACCCTCAAGCAGTGGTTGGCCTATTTTTAGACTTTGGCATGCATAGGTCCAAATCGTTATAAGGACTATCCTCCAATTTGATTTCCCCTACGTCTCTATTCAGATTATTTCTAAAGGAATCCAATTTCCTTCTCCAATACCTTTTCCAATGAGCAATGCCTTGCCCAACTTGGTGATCCACCACTAAAGGGACCTCACCATGCTTCAATTCCTCAATATTTGAACTTGTCCACAGCAGAAATGGTAAGAGCTAGGTGTTCGATTCCCTATGATTAAAGCCAAATTGTCTCACCACCCTCAAGGGATTGAATGAAGTTGAGTCATACACCCCATAAATCAAATAAGATAGGAAGCCAGACACCATGACGTTCCACATGAAGGCCTCAACATCTGTCAAGTCAAAATTATCATCCAAATCTACATTTTGATCATGTTCAAAGTACATTCATAACAAACTCCACCACTGACTACTGTTTTGAGCAACATTCCAAAGTGTCCCTACTCTCCTGGCTCGCAAACAATTTTGGCTCAGGAACAACATTGAAGAATCTCTCATAGAATTTTTTTTAAAGGAAAGGGTTACATAATGTTTTTAAATCATACACCCCTTTGATCCCTCAACAATAGCCTTCAACGTATCCAACATCCGAGAGGGCTTCCCAAGAAAAGTGGAGCAAGGGGAACGGAAAACCTAAGGCAAAAATGGTAGCAATATTGAACACGTCCTCATCCATCCCGTTATGGAGTGGACCCTCAAAGATGCATCTATGACAACCAGCAAGCCAAGAAAGCCGCCAAAATAATGTGGATTGTGGAGTCCAAGCCCCTCGAATCCATCTAGGGGGTTCATAGAATCAAGACCACTTAGGTCACTATACCAATATCTCACCCAACCTCCAAATGTATTTTAGTGGATGAGCAACCATAGAGTTCCATGAACTTTGCCTTGTCATAACAAGTCAACATCTTCCCAACATTTGATAATGAAGCATTCAAGGTGGCTACAATGCTTTTATGCGCATGGGAATGCTCAAACAAGGTCTTGTTAGCAACTCCAAAGATGTTCAACCCCATTTAAGTCGTGTTGTCCTCCAAGGTGGGACCTCCTCCACCCACTCAGTCACAAAAGTGTGAGAACTAGTGTTCCACCTAGAAAACATGGTATCACGCCAACGGCTATCTCGGTGCATCATCAAGTCCAAGGAATGCTTCATCACTAAAAAAATGCTAACCTATCGTAACAACCTCACATATTTCAATATCAATTGGTAGACTAAAACAATGTTTGCACTCCTATAAGGGAAGAAGAATTGGGAATTAGAAGGCTTGAAATCTTTGTCAAGTTCTTTTGGGAAAGCGATTGGGAGGTTTGCTTTTGATCAAGATAAGTATTAGACACGAGTTGTGCTGGCCAAGTATGATTAAGCTTGGATCTCGTTAGAGGTTTCCACAACTCATGGGTAAGGGCTTTGGAAGAAGGACATTTAGAAAAATTGGAACCTGTTTGTAAGAAGCACGACATGGTTGGAGGTGGGGAGTTGCAAATGGATCAGTTGGTTCACAAATCATTGATGGTTCTAAAATTACTAAACTACTGCTACATGCAATAATACCTAAAATTACAATTGGAAAAATATATAAGAGACCATTGGGCCATGCAGGCTCTCCAAAATAATTATAACCCATCCCTTAAGCGAACTTTACTCTTGTAGAAGCCCTTTTAGGTACTTGAATATTTCTTCTGGTGCATTTATGGTTTCACAATGAGAAATTTTGAGTCATTGGTGTGGTGTGGAAGAATTAGGAAAGGAGTTTCCATCCATTTTTTAGATTGTGGTAAATAAAGAGGCTTTGGTAGCTAATTATCTTGAAAGAGAAGACAAGAATTTGCAAGACTAAAATGAAAGGTGGATGCATTTGTATCTTCTTATATGCTCTATAATGTGGTGGGGTTGGGGAAAGGTCCAAAAAATTTGACGTGGGTCATTCATTTCTATGAACGAAATTTTTTTAGGTTAAATATTTTTATGGTGCTTCAATGGGCAATATAATCATCTTTCCTTTGGTAAAGGATTTGGCCTTCCAAAGGCCCATCCAATGTTGCATCATTGATAATTTAATTTTTGTAACAATGAATCTTATGTGTAAGAACAATGAAAAGTTGGTGAGCCATCTTCTTATTCATTGCCAAGCAGCGATAGAAAACCATGGGAAATTATTCAATTGATGTTTGAAATGGTGTGGGTGTTCCTGCATGTTGTGTGGACCTTAGCATGGTTGGAGGGATGGAAGAATGACAAAGCAGAAATGGAAAGCTTGCAACTTGAAAACTTTTTCTGGTCATGAGTTTTAGAGGTGAGCAGAATTGGAATACATTTATGTTAGTGGAGGACCCTTTGTTCGAGTTGAAGAGTATGGCTTTTGCCATTTTGAATAGGTGGGTGACAAAGGTGGAGGGTCCCATCCTTGACCAACTTTTGGGTTTCGCAGTTTCTACGAGAATGAGAAGATGTATAGAATGGGGTTTTTGTCTTTGCTTGATGTTTGTTTATGGTGTATACATCTCTATGGATTCCTGTTCTTTTCTTTTGTTAATTTGTATCTGTGCAGCATTCTCTTTGATTCCATTTCAATCATAAATTCTTTGTTTATCCAAAAAAGGATTTGTGGCTTCAGAATAAAAAACTAACTGCAAAGAAGTCTCGAAAAAAACTGGACAAATGTTGCGTAAAAATCATTACATTTAACTATCAGTGATAAAAATACCCACATAGAGGAGTAAAGGAAAAATATAGGCGGAACTGTTAATGAACTGGATACAACACAGTTGTAAGTGGTTTAAGTACAAAAATTAATTGGACAATACCTTTGATGGAGAAGATGGTATCGAAACATCTGAAGTACGATTCTTAGATTTAGTGGTAAAACTTCTGACAAAGAGGTTGTCCATCATGTTACCCATAATTCTTTGACCAATTGTTTGGTTCCGCTGGAGACCTCCAGCATCGGAACGTTTCTGAGATCTTCCAGAAGGCGACAGTACACCTACAGAAAAAAGACAGTTTTCAGGGCTAAGAGTTCAGTGTTAAATACATTCTTTGGAAAGCAACTTGCAATGCCATAGCTTGTCAGGTATTAGGATTATTTTATATAAACTCCTACAAAAACTAACCTTCAGAACCTTCCAAATCTATTGGCTGCGACAATTCTTGATTGTGATCCAGCAAGATTGATGTATTAGAATTCTTTACAGTACCATCCACACCAATGTTAAGGGATGCCAAAGCATAGGTGTCCCCATTATCCCCGACATTAAGCTGGTCATTATCTATTGGCTCATTCTCAACAGACTTCAGGGAAGGGCTATGACCTGTACTGACCTTGAAATCTCTGTTTAACACGGTATGGTTCTTAGAGTTCTCAAAGCCCAAAGCATTGAGCAGCTCAAGGGGTTGCGTAGTGTATGATGCATCCCTAGACCAAAATGTGAAGTATTACTAAAATCACAATTACAAGAAATAACTAGGATAAGAAGAGGTACACACCTTATGCCTTTCAACAAGGTGTCCCAGTCACTGTCACTGAATTGGTGTCCTCCAACTTCTATGAGATGCACCAATGCACCCAGAGATATTGAAACCACTGCCTGATCTGTTTTCTTGGCACAATCTAAGAGCAAACTCAAAAGTGGAGGCAGCATGAAACATACTTCCTACATTTTGGGGGAAGAGAAAAGATATTCTGTCACAAAGTTATATTTCGAAAATAAGTAATCATCAACAATTGATTTTAGAGATTTTTTAAATGTTAATAATTCAGATACATACAAGCATTTGTGTAGAAATTATTTGAAGAAATGATGAAAGAACAGTTTCGGTCTTAAAAGAACAGTTTTGGTCTCCAAAAACCAAGAAGAAATAACTTCCACTATTAAGGCTGATTTTTGCTGTGTGAGAACTGAGAAGCTATCTGGAAAAGTATGTTTGTTATTGTGATAAATTGGGTTAATCCATCCTCATGAACTAAATTAGACTCTTCTTAGTTATATATCTATTTCCTTTTGACTTACTAAGATAATGATAATATTGTACATGTAGCCAATGTAGCAATACCTTAGAGCATTTGCTAACATGCACTAGATTTTTTACTCTAAAAAATATCACAAAACACACCAATTGGAATGTATTTTGAAGTTACAAATATGAAAAAGGAGTATTATATAACATTGAAACCTACGAAGCACAAACACGGATACCGATGCAGACACAGGACACAGTGATTTTTAAAAAATGGGGACATAGACACGGCAGAGACACGACAATAAAATATGTTTTCATATATTTTTATTTGCTCTCTAAATTAATATTACATCCACAAACAATCAATATTAACAAGAACTAACTCTAATTTTTTTTTCTTAAAAAAAAAAAAAAACTTTTAAATTAACACTTACTAGTTTATATCTTTTTTTTATGAATGATCTATTAAGTATTTAAATCTAAGAAAAAAAATAATAAATATTTAACATTCAACATTCATCAAAAGTACTAAATAAAATGGAAAAAAAGCAATTTGACATATCCTTAGTGTGTCCCCAAAGTGTCCTCTGTGTGTCCCCTGAAAATAAATTAAATAAGGGGACACGCCATGTGATGTGTCTCATACGTATCTTTGAAGTGTTCGTGTATCCGACATGGATACAGCATTTGTTTTGAAGTGTCGGCACTTCATAGATTGAAACGAACAGGAAAAAAACACTATTCAACTAATGATTCAACTAGTAAATGTTCGTAAACATTAGTCTTGATTAGAAATGTGTGTTCACAAGAAGATATTCCATTTGAAGACCCACATGAAAGACCAGTTTTTATGCCAACACTACAAAAGAGTTTCCATATCCAATGCCTCCTATCCATGTCAAAACATGAAACCATGTGTTTTTTTAATGCTGAAATTGCATTAACCTCTGTTACATGGATTCTTCTAAATGTGTTGTATTGGACTCTAGACTTGGGTAATATATACGTATGATGTGTCTAATTGGTGATGAATCTTGTATGTTTTTCTGTTAATTAAGCGTACAACAAACAAATGTATCAAACTCTTGGGCATCGTTTTGTAATGTTTCTGTTCTGTTTTTGTTTTTTGTTTTTGAAATTTGGAAACGAAAACTTGTTTGGTATATTGTTTTTGTTTTCAAAAACATGGACTTGATTCTAAAATTTTAAAAATTTTAGAAAACGAAAAAAGGTGCTTTAACTCTCCTATAGGCTCCGACAATAGGAATTTTACCACCCATGAACTTTGGCAACACTTTGCCCGCTGTTTGGCAACCCCATGACCATTGGCCACTCCCACCACTGACCACCACATCAATCGTGGACTAAAACTAGCAACGTGGGCTTAAGGTTTTGGGTCATGTTGGTAGACCTACCCCATTCAACTTCCTAGGCCAGTAGGGCTACTTGGGGTGCAACAAACCCTCCACTGTCAGCCACCACCTCCAACAACTCACCAAACATGTATCTTTACTTATTTTTTTCACATTGGTGTATACCCTAAGAAAAAAAACACTTCTATGGAGGAGGTTTGTTGCGTCGGACACTGGCACTTTGTGGACACCCCTAAAAGCTTGTACAGCACTTCTTCAACATGTTTTAATTAAAATTTTAAATTAATAATATCATATACTTTACGGACACTTTCAATGACTATTCTTGAACCCTCCAAACATTACCTTTTTGTTTGTTTGTTTGTTTTTTTTTTTTTTTTGAGCATCAACAAATAATCTAATTTAAAAAGCAAGAAGGAAAGAGGACGAGAAGTCCCCATACAAAGATAAAGTTCAAAATAGACACCCACGTTTTGAACATCACCTACGTTTTGAACATTTATAAGATGAATACATCATGTATATTTTAATGTTCTACAACCATTTTACTTTCTTATAATGCAATTGTTACATGAATGATATATTGATGTTTATGTTATGGAATATATGCCTTCTTAAATTTAATTAGTGTTACATTGCTCTTTTTTATCTTTGAAAAATCTATTAATATGATTATGGACACATAATAAATTTATAAAACTATAAATTGTTAACATATCCCAAGCATATCTAGCTGCATTTTTTTTAAAATCACTGTCAACATGTCAACGTCATGTTGTGTCGCGTGTATGTGTCGTGTCCGTGCTAATTGAACAAGTTTTTTGTTTTTGTTATTACCAAATGAAAACATAAAATTGTTTTCTAGTTTCTGTAAGAAATTATGTATTATTGATTGATTGATATCTTACAAGATTTTAACAGCCCCCCGCAAACTCAAGGGGGATAGGAACTAACCAACTTGAGTTTGGAGAGAGTAACAAAACAAGAAAATACATAAAAATAAAAGAGGATAAGAGACACTGTATGGTCGTGTCAGACCATTGGTGAAGACACTGGATAGTGGTAAAACATAAAATTGTTTTCTAGTTTCCTATTTTTTGTAAACAGAAAACAGGAAGTTGATAATGTCACAACCGACATCTTATATTATATTTATGTTAAAATGATAGGCCTGAGGGATGGGCTTATTCGACTAATCAGTGATCCCTAGGCCTATTACAATTGAAAAACTAAAATAAGAATGTTCAGGTGGGGCTTGTTTGGCAATGTTTATGCTTACAATTTGTTAAGTGTTAGGGGTAGTTTGGTCTTTATGTATTATTCTTATTAGTATAAGTAGTTGTGTGTAAGGGGGAAACCCTAAGTTTTTGAATCAAATAATATACATAGGAGCTTCTCTCTTCCTCTTGTTCTGTTTCTTTTTGTTGTTGTTCTTCTTCTTATCTGTACATTCAACATGGTATCAGAGTTTCATCTTCCTCCTTGAAGATTTCCTTCATGTTCTTGTATCCTGGTATGTCTGCATCAGACTAGTTGTGTTGGTACTCCTGAACAGAATGGAGTTGCTGAACGTAAGAATGGCCATCTACTTGAGGTTGCTCGCTCTCTCTTGTTTACCATGAACGTTCCTAAGTCCTTTTGGGGGGATGCGGTTCTTACCGCGGCTTATCTTATTAACCGTATGCCCTCTAGTGTCCTCCACTTCCAAATTCCTCTTGAGCTTCTTCCTGTGACGTATCCCACTTCTTCTCTTCCGCCTCGGGTTTTTGGTAGTGTCTGTTTTGTTCATCTTCACCCTCGGCCTCGTGGGAAGCTTGATCCTAAGGCTGTCCGGTGTGTCTTTCTTGGTTATTCTGCTACTCAGAAAGGCTACAAATGCTATGACCCTCACTCTCATAGGTTGTATGTTAGTATGGATGTCACCTTCCGTGAATCTGAGTCTTTTTTTCCTGGTCCTCCGCCATCTCCTCAGGGGGAGCGTGGTATCGATGAGATTGCGGATGAGACGGCATCATATCAGCATGAGTTGTCTTTTTTCCCTCCTCCTCAACGGGCTGTTATTTGTGGTGAGGGGGAGCCTAGGAGTTCTGTTGATGAGGAGTCGGATATCAGTGGTCGTTTGGACAGAGCTGATCTTAAGACTTATTCACGGCGTCAGAAAGAGCCGGCTTCTCTTGTGCCACCAAGTCAATCATCATCTCCTATGCCAGTTCCACACCCAGTTTCCACTAACTCTTCAGGTAATGATCCTCATCTCATTTCTTCACCTGTTGTTGATGGTCCTATTACGGATGATTTGAGTCTTCCTATTGCTCTCAGAAAGGGGGTTAGAGCTTGTACTCAACACCCTATTTCTAAATTTGTGTCATATGATTCGTTGTCTTCTACGTATCGTGCTTTTGTTTCGTCCCTTTCTTCTGTGTGTATTCCGCAGGGTTGGAAAGAAGCCATCAATGATCCTAAGTGGAAGGTAGCTATGGTAGAAGAGATGCAAGCTTTGAGTAAAAATAACACATGGGAGTTGGTGTCTCTTCCAAATGGGAAACACCCAGTCGGATGTAAGTGGGTGTTCACCATTAAGCACAATGCAGATGGGACGATTGAACGGTACAAAGCAAGACTAGTGGCCAAGGGATTTACCCAAACATATGGAATAGATTATCAAGAAACTTTTGCCCCGGTAGCAAAGATGAATTCCATTCGAACTATTCTGTCATGTGCGGCTAATTTGGGATGGTCTCTACAACAACTAGATGTGAAGAATGCTTTTCTTCATGGGGATTTGGAGGAGGAGGTATATATGGATGTACCTCCAGGATTCTCATCTCAGTCTACAGTTGGAAAGGTTTGTAGATTAAAGAAGGCTTTGTACGGTTTGAAACAATCTCCTAGAGCCTGGTTTGGTAGATTCCTCAAGGCAATGGTGGGATTTGGATATCAGCAAAGCAATGCGGATCACACCTTGTTTGTCAAACGCAATGTACATAAGGTAACAGTGCTTATTGTATACGTGGATGACATAGTTGTGACAGGTAATGATGAGGAGGAGGTGACCCATCTCAAGATGCAGTTAGCCAAGGAGTTTGAGATAAAAGATCTTGGTCCATTGAGATACTTTTTTGAGATTGAAGTTGCCAGATTTGATAAAGGCATCTTTATTTCTCAAAGGAATTACATTCTAGATCTTCTTGAAGAAACGGGCATGTTGGGCTGCAGACCAACTGATTCACCAATTGAGACTAATCATCATCTTTGTAGTGGAATTGGTGAGCTTGTGGAGAAGGAAAGGTACCAAAGACTTGTGGGAAGACTGATATATCTCTCTCATACTCGTCCAGATATTGCCTATGCAGTTGGAATAGTTAGTCAGTTTATGCATGATCCTCGTGTACCTCATTTGGATGCAGTCTATCGCATTTTGAGGTACCTTAAATCTGCCCCTGGAAAAGGAATTTTGTTCTCTAATCATGGTCACTTGAGGTTGGAAGCATTCACAGATGCAGATTGGGCAGGCTCTATAGATGACCGACGCTCTACATCTGGTTATTGTGCTTTTGTAGGGGGAAATCTAGTTACATGGCGTAGTAAGAAGCAGGGGGTCGTTTCTAGATCTAGTGCTGAAGCTGAATACAGGGCTATGGCACATGGAACATGTGAACTAATGTGGCTTCAATTTTTGTTGAGTGATATAGGGCTTGATTGGAGTGGATCCATGACTTTGTATTGCGACAACAAGGCTGCTATTAGTATTGCACACAATCCTGTTCAACATGACCGGACTAAGCATATTGAGATTGACAGACATTTCATTAAGGAGAAATTGAATAAGGGTGTGATGTGTATGCCTTTTGTTAAGTCTGAAGATCAACTGGCGGATGTTTTTACTAAGGGTCTTAGTAGTAAAGTCTTTCACCATATTTGTTGCAAGTTGGGCATGAGAAACATCTTTGCACCAACTTGAGGGGTGATACCATGTAAGAAATTATGTATTATTGATTGATTGATATCTTACAAGATTTTAACAGTTTCCTATTTTTTGTAAACAGAAAACAGGAAGTTGATAATGTCACAACCGACATCTTATATTATATTTATGTTAAAATGATAGGCCTGAGGGATGGGCTTATTCGACTAATCAGTGATCCCTAGGCCTATTACAATTGAAAGACTAAAATAAGAATGTTCAGGTAGGGCTTGTTTGGCAATGTTTATGCTTACAATTTTCTATTTATATTGTTTAAAAAAATGTAAATTGTTTACAAGTTTTTGAAAATGAAAATAGACATCAAATGAGTTCATTTTCAAAAACTTGTAAACAGTTTAGAAAATTTACTAAATTCTAAAAAATAATAATAAATAAATAAAAATTGGTTTCACCAGTTTAGAAGATAAGTTTTTATTCATTCCTCATTCTCTCATCTCTCTAGCCACCACCAACAGCTCATTAACACCACTAGCCCCCATCTCCAGCCACCATTGCAAGCAACCTCTTTTGGCAACCATCTCCTACAACCAAAAACCATCTTCGGCTGCCAACCACCTCTTGCCGACCACCACCTCCGACGGCCAACAACCACCTTTGGCCACTGCCAACCACCTCCCACCACCTCTTGTCGTAAATTACCCCTAGTAGTTGGCAAGCACCTTCAATGACCACCTCTAGCTACCATTTCCAACCATCAATAACCACCTTTGGCCACTATCTCCCACTGGCAACCACCTTCATTCTCCATCCACTCCTCTCATTTGTTTTCAAAATAAATTTCTAAAGCATGCATCTACCAAATGTGTTTTTTATTTTTGTTTTTTTTCAAAAATAAATATAAACATGTTTAATATCGTGTAAATGAAAAATAACAAATTGCAAACGAACAACACCTAAGAAATACGAACATCTAGCCATGCACCCTAGAGACAGGAATCAAATATATATATATATATATAGAAAACATTTTATGGAAATGTTTTTGGTACAAAATGTTTTCCTATGTTTGGTTGAAACCTTAAAATTAATGTGCTAGCTGTTGTAGATACACACCAAACACACTAGGACACATTGGGGACACTTTTGCTTCCACTAGAATAGCACACCCAAGGTTGATAAATTTGATGAGAACAAATACTTAACATAAATAAATATGACATATAATACATATATAACATTAGAGGTTTTCATAAGTCCCCAGCGTGTCAGGTCCTGCATTTTTGGAAAATTTACATGTTTGCGTGTCCGTGTCCATACTTCTTAGTCCAACACCATGTAATGTAAGCTATAACTAAAGATGTAGTATCAGCAAAGCTAGAATGTTGTAGTAAAGATTCAGCTGTGAACCAAGAACACAACCAGGAACCCACCCACACACCACAAATAGCAGAACTTGAAGAATACCTCCTGCAAAGCCAACTAACATAAAGGGAAATATTTTTTTTATAGGGAAGAGTTTTTATTTTTATTTTTTATCCATATATGTAAACTCTTGAATTTGAAGATTGCAGAATACATGCCAATCAGCAAAAATAAGCCATAAATGTTTACACAACAGAGCATTTTAGATACCTTGTAGAAAGTGTTGAATAGGTTACACAACAGCTGAAGCGAATGAATACTAGTTTCACGAAGCCATTCATCTCCGGAAGAAATTGAGCTCTCTTTTCCAGCATGCCTCACATGATCAAAAATGGGAAACAGGACACGATGGAAAATGCTCTGCCAAAATGGTGATGAGAACTTGCTACCTCTTTCATTCAGCAAGTCAAACAAGACCTCCAGTGCACAATTTCTGACCTCTGGTCTTGGATCAGAGGTCAGGTCAGATAAACCAGCCAGCATTGGAAACCAATAATGCTCAGTCACATCATAAGTTGTATCCATACTGACATCAATGGGCTTCAAAGCACCACCTGGTATAAGGCCCTGGAAATAACAAATTTCTTTTAACAGGAAAAATATTGAAGGAAACTTTTAGGAGAATAAACGAATTCCAGGTGTAAGGAAATTTTTCGCTAATGCAAATCAATGAGAAAGGATGTGTACCAACATCTAAAATAAAATTATATTGACAAGTTAAATCAATCCAGGAGAAATGTTGCCCTATTAAATTATTTCTCCAACTATTTACTGGAAAACAAATGGAAGTTTAAATGTAAAATATTTGTTCTAAAGGAATCAGCCAATTGTGCACTTACTGTATTAACTACATTCCCTGAACCATTGAAATTTCTCCTAGAAAGTAGAAATTGTGTAAATTATGATTTAATAGATGCCAATAAAAAAAAATTAAAATTAGAAGTTGTGGGAGCCGAGTAAAAATAAATCTACGTCGGCAAACAGAGTGCAAGCCAATCTTTGATGGGCCAAATTCAGTCAAAGCCCATTGGACTCAAAGTCATTGCCGAGTAGAAGGATGAAGAGCGTGCCGAGTTAAGGGTACCCAGGTCGCACATCTGAGCCAAGTATATCGGATAGGTTGGCACAACCCCGCAGGTGGGCCCAGGTTGTCCCCTTCTAAAGAATACAGTAGGAAAATAGGCCATGACAAAGTGATGATCAGGGGCTAAGCTACAGGAGGAAATATCAAGGAAAATGACTCTATAAAAGGAGGAGGAGGTTGGAGAGAAAGGTATGTTGAAAACAAATTGATACTCTAAGAAACTAAAAAACTATTTTTCAAATTAATCTAACTTGTTCGTCGGAGTGCTAATTCCAGCACCACCGATCGGAGCTTTTCTTCTGTTTCAGGTGACAACTAGAAAATCTTTCAAGGGCTTGTTTGGATTAAAGAAGTATTCAAAAACCACTTCCCCACAGAACTCTTTATTATTATTACGATAAAAAAAAAAAATCATAGAACTCTTTAGCCTCCATATAAGATGTAAGCATATGAAATCGGTCATGGATATAAATTTAATGAATAAGCATGCCCCACCACCACCACCCCCAACTGAAGAAAAAGCATAAGTATAATACTTCTACTCTTTAGCATCATTGAAGGACACAATAACAATAACAATATGAATATTTAGATATATATATATATATATATTAAAATGAATTCAAGTATCAGTTCATTTGGGGGGAACAACATTAAATTCAAGACAAAAATAGGGCAACTATCCTTTCAGGTTGAGGGATTCAAGTATCAATTCATTTGGGGGAAAAAACATTAAATTCAAGACAGAAAAATGGGGCAACTATCCTTTTAGGTTGAGGGTTACAACCCAAAAAGAACAAGAAGAAAAACTAGTCATTCTACATTTGCCATTTATTCATGCTTGGGTTCCTTTAACCACTTAAAACCTTTTAATTAGGATTTAACCTAGAATATGAATCATGGTGGAAGATTATACAAGTCAGTTGGAAGTTCTTCAATTTGGTCGATGGACGAGATGGAAGGAAGGTTGCTTCATGGTGGCGGTTGAGTGTGGGAAGAGAATTAGTTCTTTTAAGCTATGACATGTGGTGGGGTTGTGAAAAGATGAGGGAGGCTTCAATGTGGGTGGTCAGAAATCGTTTTCTTTGGGCTTGGATAGGGTTGCAAACGAGCCAAGCCAAGTCGAGCCAAGCTTTAGTATGTTTTGGCTTGTTTATTAAGATTTTAACGAGCTCAAGCTCAAGCCCCGAACTCAATAAAATTTAACGAACCGAACTCGAACGGAGTTGGCTTAGGCTTGACTCAAGCTCGAGCCTGTTCACGAGCCTTCATGAGCCAAAAAAATTAAAATCATACTTGCGTATAAGACTAAAATTACAATTGAAACTTTGATTATACAATTATATATACAATATATATAAACATATTTAAAAAGAAAAAAAAGTCTATCTTACCAAAATAATAATATCTACTACTAATATTATATATATGTATTATCTATAGTTAGCTATTATTTAGATATAAATAAATTTAGCTATTATTTACATTTATATTATTTAAAAATAACATATTTATCCTATTTTTTATACATATTTTTACATTATTTAATATATAAATAATATATTTATTCTACTATTTAAATAAATGTTAAACGAGCCAGCTATCGAACCGAACTAACAAGCCGAGCTTTAGTATGTTCGGGCTTGTTTATTACGATTTTAACAAGTTCGAGCTCGAACTCGAATGCAATAAAAATTTAACGAACCGAGTTCGAACGAGCCCTTACCAAGTCGAATTCGAGCCTATTCACGAATGGCTTTGTTCATTTGCAACCCTCAGGGGTAGCAATACAATATTGGAGTGTTACTGCCCCCACAATAGGGGGCATGTAATTTGAAGCTGAGTATAGAGGAACTGGAGTACAGGGCTTGGTTCATATTCTAGACCAAAAAACGGGAGATGGGCAGAAAAGTTTGGCTACGGGATTTTCAGCATTTGCACAGGAAGGGAGTGGATTAGGGGATTGGATATAGTTATCTTATTTGGAGGCAGCTACAAATGGGAGCAAGCCTGAGCATGTCATCAGAATTTTCCATAGCCAACTGAAGGTGGACTTTGATGTCAACATTGATGCCAGGTCTTGGTCTTGCAAAGAGCTGGTTTCCTCTTTGCAAAGATACTTGGTGGGGCACTTCAGTGGCTAGGACACACTGATGCCAAATGCAAAGGAGATGCAAGATTGGGTAAACATAAAGTGTGTGTGTGTGGTTGCATAGTTGTCAAATCGTGAATCGTATCATGAATCGAAATCCTAATTTTGCGAATTGTGAATTGAATTGAGAATTGTCAAGATATAGTACAAAACTATACATAAGTAAATAAAAATAAATAATAATAAAAAATAAAAAAATAAAACATGTTAAACAATCGTATATATGAAAAATGAAAAAACTAAATTTTGGCACATGTTATAAAATAATTCTTGTATAAAGACATGATTACAGCATCTAAATGGGAATACATTACCTTCACAACAACAGATATCGGGGCAAATTACACCAATCATAAAATTATTCAAAAATAATAATAATATAATTTCTTGTGACATTCAAAAAATAGACCTAGGAACCCTATAAATCCATTTTACCCCCCCTTGTGGTATAGGTGTGGAGCACTTTACCCCTTAACTTTTTTCTTTTTTTTTTTTTGATAAATAAGCAAACTTTTTGTTGAGAGAGCGTCAAGATGATGCAAAGAATACAAAAACTAGCCTAACAGCTAGAAGCAACAAAAACCAAAACTGCACGAAACATCAAGGCAAAGAGCAATGAAGACTACTACCAAGGTTTTAAAAAGCGGCCGCAACTGTTACGTAACGTCGTTACGTAACGGTTGTGGTAGTTACCGCCACCCGTTACGGCCGCTTTTGCAGTGTGATTGACATTCACAGGTGTGTCAGCCGTAGCAACTGCTATAGCGGTTGAAACGGTGCCGTAGCGGCCGTAACGGTTCCGAATTGCTTCTTTTGAAAAAACACAAAAAAAAAAGGTTGAAAATGGGGGAAGAGAGATAGAGAGAGAAGAGGGAAGATGAAAAACATGTTATTGATTTATTGAAGCTGTAAGACCTATGCTATTCTATTCAGCAACTATCACTCAATCATTTTGTTTGTGTGTGTCTATCTATATATTGTTTGAAAATAATAATAATAATTGTGATCATTATCTATTTGGCTTGATTAAAAAATATATATATATATATATATTTAGGCTTTTATTTATTCTCTTACTTTTGTCATTGTTTATCTTATATATAATAGCTAGTAATTGATTTTTTGTATAATATAAAGTCATTAATTATTAAAATAAAATGTAAAAAACTCAGTTTATAGTGTTTTAAAAATATGAAATATATTGGATCAAACTTAAAAATTTATAAAAATTGATCAATATTTATTTTAAAACCCAATAAATACGATCATGGAAAAAAAATGTGCATATCGGTAAGTTTTTTTCAAATTGTGCGAAAAATAAAAAAAGTTACGGTTCCGGTTACCGCAACCGTTAAGCTACGGCCTTTACATCCCGCAACCACAACCGCGCCACAGCCAGCGTTACGGTGACCGTAGCCGCTTTTCAGAACCTTGACTACTACTGAATCAAGTCCTCTACAAAATCAACAAAAGACAAAACATCCAGATCCATTGTCAACGATATCCAACTGTGCAACACAATGAACAAAAGCCGCTCCAACCAGGCCACTATGCGCAACTCTCTTATGAATACCCTCGTCTTACACTCCAACCAAACTAGCCACGTAACACAATGACCAGCCATTATCCATGTCTTTCACCTTCTCTTCCCAACCCTCCCCCAAACCCAGCTTTGTAACACCGCCCTCACTGTCCCCAGTTGAACCCAAGCCAAACCGAAGATAGCAACTATAGACATCTAAAGGCGTGAAGCAACCGGACAACAAATACGGCCTTGTTTGTCATAACCTAAAAAAGTCAAAAAGCCAAAAAGTCACTATCTTATTTAAATCACATCATCTTATTTAAGTCATATCACCTCTCCATCACATCACTTCAAACTCAACCCATACTCAACCCATATTCATAAAAAGTCAAAAAGTACACTTATTTAGATCATCCCAAACCACCCCTAAGTAAATGGTCCACCATCTCCGTAGCTCCACTACACATGCAACACCAATTCACCAAAATATGCCCACGACGCGGCTACCATTGGTGATGGAGACAATGGAGTCTGATGCCGTAGAGGTTAGGACTGATAGAGAGGCAACGGCAACTGGTTTTGAAGGAGACGAGCCTCCAGGTCTGGGAGAGGTGTCTACTTGGGTGTTGTCGCAGATTAAGGAGGTAAGTTCTTTACTTGGGGTATCATTTGTTGGGCATGAGAAAGAAGCAATGAGGCTGTTTTCAGCCATAGAGGTATTGTGGAGGGGGAGTGCTCCTGTGGGAAAACAGATACACATTGTTGGGCAAAAGGGAGAGGGTGCTAGAGAGCTGCGGAACTTACAGTGCACTGTTAATTATGATAGGCAATCACAAGAAGGCGGTAGGGCCGTGAGGAAGGAGCATGCTAACCATTCACTGTTGCCATGCAGTTAAAAATCTTATCTTGGAATGTGCATGGACTGAATGACAGGGGAAAGAGGGTGGCGGTCCGAATGGTGGTTAGGAAGGCGAAAGTGGATGTTGTATGTTTTTAGGAGACTAAAATGGAACACATAGGTCAGGAGGTGGTTAGGCAGGTGTGGGAGGCGGTTAGTGGATTGGATATACTTGCCAGCTATTTTGGTTAAAAATAGCCACATACTCCCCATATGGTTTCGGACTAAACTGCAACACTAACCCCATTAACATTAGAGATAAAAAGACGATTATACCCTTTTTCTACTTTTCATTTTCTTTTAAAATAAAAATAAAAAATAAAACTTGAATCCATAACCACAACTAGCCAAGCAAAAAAATTTAATTTCTAAAACTTAATACTGGAGAAAAAACCTCTGCAAGACGATCCTCGCATATGCGCAGGAGTGCAACAGCCTTCAGACTTATACGGTGAGAACTTTTACTGTTGGCAAACCCAATAAGACAGTTGACACAATCCATAAAGCAGTCTCCAACAACCTGATCGAAATGTTCCAAGAGAACTGCACATTGTTTTTGTTGTTACACATAGTTGAAATGAAAAAAGGAAGAAAAATATCAAAACACAATGGCTAGAAATACTCCAGGACGAAAAAATTATAAAAAAAAAAAAAAAATCAAGCTTGGCTCTCACCCTGCTCTACATTTTCAAATGCACTTTCAACAATTGGTTCCAATTCATCATCTGCAGCTGCTGTAAAAATCATAAAAACACTTCGCCAGCCCGACTTTATGCTTCCAACTTTAGATTTTATCATCTGCAATTATACAAATATGATTTCTAATACAACTAATAAAAAAATATTTTGATTACCACGAAATCTGATCACAACACCTACTTGAACAATGCAATCAACAATCAATCTCCGTACAGTTTCGCTTCGACTACTCCGCATAAGAATGACAAATGGTTTTAGAATGTCATTCTGGAACGTGAAATTGGCAAGTTCAGCACGCTCCAAGTATTTCATACCAAGTTGTCTTAGAGAATCTATGGCATACATGGCAATTTTCTCATCATGATGACTCCCAGCAGAAATAAAATGATTAGCAAGGACAGACCATATTCTTGCCCATACCTGAAAAGAGTGTTAAATTATTAGTAGAAACTTCTAAGTTGTTAACAAATGTAAAGTTACTGGCAATTCAATTTGTTATTTTATTATGTGATAGTATAGTGATACATGTAGAGATATTAACCGTCATATCCAAAGCTGAATTTCTCTAAGGAAATGCTATTTATCACCGGATTTATTTCACCGCCTCATTTCACTCCCTATGTGTATTCATGCAATACAAACTAGGTGTATGTGTAAGATAAGATCTACTATATTTAAAAAATAAAAAATAAAAAATAGGACACATGGGAAACCACATAGGAGGTAAAGAATATGAGTGAAATATTCTGATGATATATAACAGCCCTCATTTTTCAGAGATTAAATACAAGTTTCCATTGCTCCAACCAATGCATTAATACACTTAAACCAGAAACCTAGCCAGAGCATAAGCATGCACTGATATAAACATGCTTGAATTGATTGTGATGTGTGATTTACACTTGCCAATGCACATGTATGCTCCATGCATTATTTTTCTAACAGAAAGAAAAAATTTAGTTCATGCCATATCACTATAGATGTCAATGTCGACATAAATGCAGAAATGACTAAAAAGGTTAGCAAATTTGTGAAAGCTCATGATATTTGGGGGGAAATGACAATCAATTCAAAAGAATCACATCATGTTTAATATTAAGATGCCATATGAGTTTCCAAGTAATAACAACCTGAATCCAAATAACTAATCACAGTAGTAGGCATACATGAAAATAATAAGAAGAAGAAGAAATTCCAAAATCAACAATGTTTGTTTACTCTTTTTTCCTTTCTTCGGTGTCTGTAGGGTAGGGTTGTTTAGTCATGTTTTAAATTGTTAACCGCAAGGATAGACAAGGATGGTAAGAACATGCTTTAGAAAGCAAAGGTTTCAAGCTCAAATCCACCTAGGACCCAACCCAGTGAATTTTCTAGGTATTTGCCCAGTGTGCATGGGGTAGGGGGGCAGCACATGCCCACGGATAAGTCAGACACTCTAAGAGGCCCAGACACCTCATTACAAAGATTAAGGGAAAAAATGATCTTTGGGTCCCAATATCAGAAGAAAACAGATTACTAAAAGCCAAAAAGGAAGCAAATACAAAGAAAAGTTCCAATTAGAAAGAAAAGTAAATAATTGAGAGAATAACTTGCATTTAGACAAGAAAAAAAGCTCAGATTAAGGGACATGAATGTTTAGTTGGAGAATAGTTCCAACTGCTACCTACATACACATATGTATTCCTCCCAAAATCAACAATATGCTGCACCACGAAGAAAATGGACAACTCACCAAATGGAGAAACAAAAATCTTCAATCAGCAAACTAAGGAATAAATTGGTAGTCTGATTGTGTCATTTCAACATCAATTATAATGTCTCTCCGTTAAGTGTACGTACTTGATATCTTGACTAACACATTTAAACACGACAATCATTTGAAATGTGAGCTAAATGTACTATGGATCAAAATTCATATTTTTATGTTGAGCACGCATGAGCATACATTCTCATACTAATATCAGATTCTAGTCATTATTTTTGCAAAGTCAATCTTAAGGTACAACTAAGGTCAACGTAGCAGACCTAGGGTTACAATCCAACAACTAGAAGTCTAATTCAATGAACAATTTACATAGAATAAAGCTAATATCCAGTAATTTATTACATGCACAACTTAATAAAATTCTGTCAGTAAGGAAATTACCATGCGTATACGAGCCATATTGTAATAGCTGATCTCAACAAGCTTTTGCAAGCTAAAAACGCGGGCTGGAGTCTGTTTCAGTTCTTCGGCTGACACGTTACACAGAGCAGTGAAAAACTCCACAACCGATTCACTTGGCAACTTAACACTATTCACAAACACTTGTTCTGCTGGTTTCCCGGCCAACTCTCTTAAAGATTGAAGAATGGCATCCCTGGAGATTTGATTTGATCCTTGCATGACAGTAATAGCAATAGCAGGAGTTGAAGTAATGTATTCAAGCCGAGAAATGCACTCCAGAACTGCATTCCAAGTGTCTTGAAGAGCATCAGTCTCTAAGTCACATAAAGTGAGTAGAGTCCTCAATGCTTCTACATTTTTACTACGCATGTCCTTTGGTGCATGCAAAAAATTAAATCTGAGATATAATACCAAAAGCATGAACAAATGTCATGGGTGAGATATCATTTCAATAGTAGAAAAAAAAATTTAAAACCTTGTTTCCATGAACAACAGTTAAGATAAGTAAAAACAAATATCAACAAGCAAAACATTAGGAAAAGAAGTACAAAGATATGGAGGCACTTTACCTAACCAGAGATGTTAAAAAAGCATAGCGCATGGTATCCATTCCAAGAACATGAGTAATGTGTATTCCTGCTCTAAATCCTTCCATACAGAGAACAACTCTTGGCTTATTCTCTCCTTCCCCCATAGTAACAGAAAAAGTAGCAAGCAAAGGCCATCCTACAGCTTCAACCATCGGCCTTACAAGTTCAATCTGATATGAAGTATGAAAGACTCCTCTTTTCACTCCTTGATTCCGAAAAATAGCCTGTGTTTGTTTAATGATAGCTTCACTCTCAGACTTTGTGTCCATTAATGATTTTCTCTTTGGGAGAGCCAGATTAAGAATACTGACAAGGCGGCCTCTCTCTTCTGCTTCTGGCTTCTGTCTGCTGCTTTTACCAAGACCAGCCAAGTCATCTTTCATTTTTATCTCTTCTTTAACAATAGAATCATAGATCTCCTCCAGAAGTTCCTGAGGAGCACACTCTTCAGCATCATTCATGGCATTCATGCGAATAAAATCAGCCTTGGACATTTTAGGCCACACCATTGGATTATGTGCATCAGTATTCAACAGTATAACTGCATATGCAAGAACATATGCAGTATCCGCATTCTTAAACAAGCCTGGATTATCTGCGCAATAGCTGCAATAGGTACGACACATTCAATATCAACTTAACAACAACAAAGGGCATATCATGGGTTCTTAATTGAAGTTTATTTCAAAATCAACCTGATCAAATGAAACTTAGTTGTTGGATCTTGGTTAAAAAATGAGAAAGCCAAAGTTCCGAGTGAACCATAAATATATTTTTTTTTTTTTTCAAAAAAAAAAGGTAGATATTACTGTTGGAGAGCTTCAGAGATACATTGTTGAGCCCATTTCTTAATAGCTTAAGCTTTTGGCATTATTGATAATCTAACATGGTATCAAAACCGGAGTACCTAGTGATGGGTGGGTTCATGTCCCTAGCTTGCATGCAGCAGGTGTTGCTGAGTGAGCACGTTGTACACGAGAGAGGGTGTGAAGCGAAGTCCTACATGACATGGGTACAAAAGTAATGTGCAATATATAAGGCTAAGCACACCCTCAGCTCAATAGCTAGCTTTTGAAGTCGAGTTCTACCCAAGACCATATAACAATTACCCTTAATATCAGCAATCAAAAGTTCTTATAGATCTTATCCATAGAAAGGGGAAAAAAGTGCACCTGGATAATCTAACATGGTATCAGAACCGCAGTACCTAGTGATGGGTGGGTTCATGTCCCTAGCTTGCATGCAGCAGGTGTTGCTGAGTGAGCACGTTGTACACGGGAGAGGGTGTGAAGCGAAGTCCTACATGACATGGGTACAAAAGTAATGTGCAATATATAAGGCTAAGCACACCCTCAGCTCAATAGCTAGCTTTTGAAGTCGAGTTCTACCCAAGACCATATAACAATTACCCTTAATATCAGCAATCAAAAGTTCTTATAGATCTTATCCATAGAAAGGGGAAAAAAGTGCACCTGGAAAATCCACTGCATAGCTAGTAAAAATACATAGTCCATCTTTTCAAAGATCGATATGGTTTTCCAGGACTTCATTGCACAAGCTATCAATTTTTTGTTAGTCCTTCTGTCTTTGGAGACCCTTTTTCTTTTCCCATTCTCTATCCTCCATGAAAGGATGCCAAATTTTCCTTTAAAGTTCCTTTTTATAATAAAGTTGGTTATGTTGCCTTAGTTTGTCTATTTGGACGAGTCTCAAGCTTTGTTGTATATTTCTCTTTTTTGGTAATAAAACGCTTACCCAAAAAAAAGTTGGTTTTTTTACTATTATTACTACAATGCAGAACAATAGTACACAAAAGAAAACAAGAATTGGAATGTGGTATCCTAAGTAGCAAAGACACAAACATGCTGACACTATAATTTTCAAAAAATGCAATACAATACGCTTGGAGCATTTAAAATTTTATATATTTATAAATTTATTACGTGAAACGTATGAATAGTTTATTCAGTTGTAATGGAAAGAAAAAGAAGACGAAAAAAAAAAAAAGAGAGCACAATAATACTAACTGAAATTAAACGGCCATATATTCCAAAAAATTAAACCGCCATATATTCCAACGGATCAATTATCACAACGGCAGAGGAGATTGATGTGGATGTGGCTCATAGGATTAGGGTGGGATGGCTTAAGTGGAGAAGTGTGTCTGGGGTACTGTGCGATAAACGAATACCCACTAAACTAAAAGGTAAGTTATATAGAACGACTATTAGACCAGCGATGTTGTATGGGACGGAGTGTAGGGCAACCAAGAAACAACATATAAATAAAATGAGTGTTGTTGAGATGAGGATGCTAAGGTGGATGTATGGCAAGACAAGACAAGACAAGACAAAATTAGGAATGAGTGTATTTAGAAATGGCTAGGAGTAGCATCAATAGAAGATAAGTTGAGAGAAAGTCGATTGAGATGGTTTAGTCATATTCAACGGAAACCAATAGAGGCAATAGTGAAAAGATGCGCTGCAGTGATGGTAGATGGAAGTGTTAGGAGACCGGATAGGCCTAGATTAACGTTGGCTAGTGTTGTAAATAGAGATATGTATCTACTTAATTTGACTAACGAAATAGCCTTTGATAGAGCCACGTGGAGAAAAAGGATCATGTAGCCAACCCCATTTGATGAGACTTAAGGCTTGGTTTGGTTTGGTACGGTATATTCCATAACTTAAACATTAAGATATCATTCACCTAATAATTACATTCTAAAGAATGTGAAACAATTGTAGAACATTAAATATGCATAATGTATTCATCTTATAAATGTTTCAAAACACATTTAGAGTGTACACCTTATCAAATAAGTCATATTCGGAGGGTTCAATAGGTGCGTTGAAGTGGCCACAAAGTCCATGTAAAGTGTCCAATTTTAAGAATTTAAATTTTTAAGTAAAACATGTTGAAGTGTCGAACACGCTTTTAAGCGTGTTTGCTAAGTGTCGGCGTCCAACCGACACCCCCTCCATAGTAGTGTTTGTGCTTCTTAGGTGGTATATGGTACATCGTCTCTACACTTTAAATGCACCATGATAGGGGTTGGCTTGTATAAATATTTACAGTTCAATATGAAAAGAAACTAGTAGTAGACAATTAACATAATATAGAATCATAAAACACTAAGGCTGTGTTTGGTTGTGATTTCAAATCACAATTCTACATCTTAATTCAAGCATTGTGTTTGGTTGTGATTCTCAAATGCTGTTTTGAGAACTCTGCACAGAACATCTGTGTTACTCTGCAATATCAGACGTATTGTTCCTTCTTTTTTTTTTAAATTTATGCCTTGGGGATGTCCACCTGGAAGACCACCCGGATGTCCTTGGGGACGTCCACCCGGATGTCCTCTGAATTCCAGATTTTTTTTTTTTTTTTTTTTTTTTTTCAATTGATTTACATAATCGGGAAAAATATTTTCTGAAATTTTTTAAATTTTTTATGTGCTTTAAAATAATTTTGAGTTGTATGTTTAGTTATGAGTTGTAAATTTTTGTATCACATATCAATTGTCACATCAACAATTCCCCACTCAAATCAAACTTCTTTTCCAAAATTATTTTCAAAACTCTTTACCAAACAAATTTTCTACACTCAAATCATAATTCTACAACACACAAACTCAAAATACAACTCATACTCTCAAATCACATTTACAAAACACAACCAAACGCAGGCTAAAGTTGTCTACTCACTTTTGTTTGTTATAATTATAATTCAAGCATTCAAAAGCATATAACTAAATTATGTTATGTTAATTGAGCTCTCGCTGTGCTAAGGCCTTTTCTTTCTACTAATCTACTCCAAAGCTCCTCATCTGAATTGGTTATATTTATTTTTTCATGTTTCATCTAAGAAAAGCGAAAACTGATGGAAGAAATAAGAAGAATGTTGTGTTGCTAAATGTAATATTATCAAGCACAAGTATAACATATTTTAGAATGTGTTGCGCTATGTTAGTACATCAGATGCTCTAAATTGTGGTACAATAGGAGTAGACTTGTATAGTTTACACAATAAGAATATAAGGTAATTCTAGTCTTGAGAATTTTTTTAAACAATTAGATATCCAATAAAATGTAGATGTTGTTTTTTTTCCCCAAAATAATCATATGGCAACACATTTTTATGAACATTATGACACATTTTTTTCTTTTGTCATGTTAAAATTTTACTCATCTTAGATTTTAGTTCATTATATTTGATTTTTTTAACTCCCAAGGAAACTTTAAGAAAATATATTGAAACAAACTTTTGGGATCACTTTGGGTCGTCAAATTTACAGTTTTAAAACATGTTTTAAAAAGTAATTCGCTAAGGTGTCAACGTTTTCTAGTTACACTGCTGTGTTGTAATGCAAAGTACAACTATATTGGTATTTTCTGCTAACTTCGGCGTACATACAAATATATACACACACACATGAAAGCATAATTGCATACACCTACCGCTCAGCAAATTTCTCCATAATACGATCTATCTTTTGAGCTTCCCCTGGAAGTCGGAATCCTCTAAGGAATTCACGAATTGCAGAATCAAACTTCATCCCAGAAAACTTCATAGAATCTACGAATGCATGCATCACAGCAAGGTGAAACTCCTCATGTTGGCCCAAGTAATCACCAATCATGGCCTGGAAACCAAGAGGGTTAAACACATTCTTTATTTTTGTGGTGCTACAGAAAACACATTCATTTCAATGTAAAGTTAAATAGGGAAATTACACAAACACTCGCTCAAGTTTCGAAAGTTACAATAACACCCCTTGTTAGAGTTGTTTTAAAAGTTCTTAAAAGAACATGTGCTTTTACATTTTTCACTTGCTTATTATATATATTTACTTAAATGTTTATAAATTTTTATTGGCTAGGAAAATTTGTCACAATGAAACTTTAATATGATGGCTTCAGCATTTTCCATCCAATGTTTTAATGAACAGTTACGAATGGGTGTTGCTCTATATTGTCGCGTGAAGGGATGTTATTCTAATTTCAAAAACAAAAGGGTGTATCCTTGGGAGCTTATATTTCCACACACCACATTATCTCAGTTCACCCGCTTTTTTGGTTCACATATGAACTTCTGAACAAAACTATATGGTTCACAAATCAAGTTCTAAACGAAACCTTACGGTTTGGCTATATCTTTGGTTCAAAAGTTTATTTTTGAACCATAAGTTTTGGATCTTAAGTTTATTTCTAAACCATGCAGTTCTGTTCGGAAATCATCTTCCGAACCAAAAATAGTGTGACAGTTGTAATATTATTTTAGTAGCAGTTTGATTAGTATAAGGGTATTTTAGTATTTGTATCCTAATTACCGTTTAGTTCTATATATGTATATATTAGTGCATGGAATTTCTTATGATTAAGATAATACAAAGGTTATTCTTCTTCTCTTACAATGTGAACAAAGAGAAAGTTGTGTGTGGAATAGAAGCTCCCCGTAATATTGTATTTGCAAGGAACCTGAGGAGGAGATTGTGCAATTTATCCAACTAAATTTTACAGACACTGTAATTCTACCTTGTCCAAACTTGGAGTATTCCTCAAAAATTGAGCAACTGAAGCAGGTGTGTTTTCCACCAACCGATTTGATATCAGATACTCTATACCCTTCCCTGGTTGCCGGTTGAACTGTAACATATTTAGCACTACATATCAGTCCCTTAACCCAGCATGAGCACTCAGCAAGAAAATAACTCATCGCAAACAAGCAGGATATAAACATATCAGCATCTTGAGTGTTCATTTTAGACATGTATCAAATCACTATAACATTTTGTTTTACATCATTTGAAGATACGGTGAACAGAAACATCAGAATTTGTCCAATTACCTCCGAGATGGCAGCTTCCATGGTAGATTTATGAGCCTTCACCTTCTCAAAGTTATTGGGCAAGTCTTCCCTGATTTTTATCTCATCGAATTCTCTAGCCGAAACTTCTCCTTCAAAAGACTGGTTACCTTTACTCTGTTTTTCTAATGCCCTCCGCGTCTTCTCCCAGTCAACCAACGATTTTAGCACATTCACAAGACACTGGAAGGTCAAGAAAGAGAGGTCACCAGCAATTTCTTACAAAGTATTACAAGACAACGAGTGCCATGAAAAAACAGTATGACAAAGTTATTGCCCATATGGTGCAAAAGAGGTCAATGACAAACTTACCTGAAGTGAAGAACCTTTAATTGATCCCGTCTGAGATGCAGTAATTGAGTTGGGATCCACATTTTGAGTCCCTTGAGCTATTTTTGATAGAGTGGTAACCTGAATGAGATGACAGAAGATGATGTAAATTTGATAGATGAACATGGAAGAACCTTAAAGATTAATTAAGACATTTAAAAATTAGTCAAATAATTATATTAATTAGTACCATGCGTTCAAACAAGTTAGATGCCTCAAGATCACAATCATAGTTCACATACAGGTCAACAAGCATTTGAGAATCCTTGCAAACTTTCTCTAGCATCCTGCAATATAAATTGATTATAAGATTATAAAAGATAACTCAACATATCCTAGAAGCCTAATAAGCATTACAAGTTTCATAATCATAGGCCAAATATGTTTGCTTTTAAGCAATTTAATAATAATAAATCAAAACCGAAATCATACCGAAGAACACTCAGTTTTTGATTAAGGGGAAATTCTGAACTATCCAACGATCGTAGGACAATCAAGGGAAAGAAAATGCCAATCTCACCCTGAAAATTATTATAAGGCATATAGCACAAAGAAAAGATAAAAACAAATTATATAACCCGAAATAAGAAGCAAAAAAGGAAGAGGAAAAGAAATAAGCAGTAGTGAAATGCACTGTCAAAACATCACACATACTTTCAGACTTTCCCTAAATCGCAACAAAAGCACCAAGAAGATTTCTGTAGCATACTGTCAAGGAATGAAGAATCGCCATTATCAAGATCTTGAAACAAGATTTTCCTAACATAATATGTAAAAAAGAAAAACAAAAAACAAAAAAAAAAAAAAAAAAAGTGGGGGAAATAAAAAATATTACTAAACCTGGAATATGACAGGGGATTGAGAAACTGATGCCCGTAACAGGGCATATGAAAGGTAAGCTTTCACCGAATCGATAAAATGGAAGTTCTTCGTGAATGAATGACTAACCCCTTCCAACAAACCCTGAAAATACAATAGCTAGAATTACGCCTCAAAGCATCATTGCACTTGAACAACATTACAAAGCAACATGTTCATATAGGAAGCGAAATGTATGAGAATCAGTATAAAGACGTCCACACTATCAAATATCAATTATTCTATATCCCACTCAGCACATACTATGAGGATGAAGAATCTCTGTTGCTTTTATTGAGTGGTTGATAGAAGTTAAAAACTTGATAGTTGAAGACATTCAATTATCAAGTATTGGGTGAGAAAATAACCCAAGAAGTAGGGTTCCCAACCTGCCCCACCTCTGACACAAATGCATCAATCAGTTACTTAAATAATCTTACCTTATTCTAAATTTTTATTAATACAAAAACAAAACAAAAAAAAAAGGGCAAAGGCAAAGACCAATTCAGCTTCCTTCAATCCTTAGATACAATCAATCAAACAAGCAAACTCTTCTCTTTGCCAGGTTGCACCATCATATTCACTGATTTTTTTCATTGGGAACAGTCTCTATTACATCTGCAGAAGTCATGTAGAAATAATTTCCTTCTCCCCCCCCCCCCCCCCCCCCCCCCAAGCAAGAAACCATGTCAACAGGGTCTAGTCACCCTCTCAAGAAGCAACCCTCAAGTAACTCGTGACAAAGTTGAAAAATCTATTGATGAATCTCAAAGAAGATGCACCAAGGGTTTAAGGGCTCTATAGGGCTGCCTGAACCATATTTGTCAACTTCTTAAATTTTATTTTACCTTTTTTGTTTTGATATTTTATAGTTTGGGATTTTTTATTTTTATTTTTTTTGATTTCTTTTTCTACATTTTTCTGCCTTTTTTATTCTAAAAACTAATGCACTAACGCCTTTTTCTATATTTTTTGGTATTTCTAAGGATTGAAGTATATCGAATTTATCAGTTGCAACGCAGCATAATTGCTTTTGTATTCTTTTTATATTACTTCGATGATTGACAATCTACCTACTGGTGGGTCTTACTGGTTCACTATTGTTGTTCTTGCGGGGTGGGTGGGGTAGGGCACATGGGGGTAAAGATACTCGTAGGCTGGGCAAGGGTGGAGGCAATGTACTCCTAGGTTAGGCAGGGGTGGAGACATAGAAGGGGAGGTCCATCCCATAAAATACCTTCGAACTTATGATATAATAAATTTAACTATCAATTATTTATCAAAAAATAATAATAATAATAATAATTTTAAGTATCAACTAATGAATTCTTTGCTTACTTATTAAAAAAATTATTGAATTCTTCATTTATATTAAGCTTTTTTAATACCAAAATCCCAACAAATACGAGATATAACCATTTCTCATATTTCAACAGTGATTTTGAATATTATAATCAACTAATATTTTTCCATTATAGAGTCCATTTTTCTGATACCTCACTCATCACATCCAATATTTTGGCTGTATATGTCAATATTTTTTCAATTTTCTACAAGTTGGTATATACTTTTTAGGAATTTTTTTTGCTTGTGTATAAAACTAATGTCAGTAACTTGTTTTTCATTTATCAAATGCACTTAATACATATACTCTACAAAATAAATTTTGAGTCACAATTGATTAACAATTTTTACAATAAACTAATATTTTAGACGCTAGTTACTAAATAATGCATGATAAATTAAAGTTACATAAGAAACATGTCCATATATATGCGATATTGCTATGCATTTATAGGCAAAGTATAAAAATAATTTTGCTCATAATAAAACATAATTCTAGTGTATAAACTAATATTTTAGACTCTAGTTACTAAATAATGCGTGATAAATTAAAGTTACAGAAGAAACATGTCTGTATCTATATGCGATATTGCTATGCATATATAGGCAAAGTATAAAAATAATTTTGATCATAATAAAACATAAATCTAGTGTATAAACTAATATTTTAGACTCTAGTTACTAAATAATGCATGATAAATTAAAGTTACATAAGAAACATGTCCATATCTATATGCAATATTGCTATGCATTTATAGGCAAAGTATAAAAATAATTTTGATCATAATAAAACATAAATCTAGGGTATATATATAGTATACATATACAATAATCCTTTTTATAAACTTCATTGAAATAATATTCAAATCTTAATGATATTTATTAATATATTAAATTACCTATACAAGTTTAATAATACTTCACTTTATATTCACTTCAAACATGACTATTTATATAAACAAATGTGTGAGAATCTGGTGAGTTGACTGCAAGTTATATCAATGATCTTTCCAATGTGTGAGATTCTGCAGATCAATATACTTATCTTTCCAATATATCCCAATTATTATAGTGTGAGATCCACACAAAATAAATAAAATAAAAATAAAAATATCTGATACTTTTAAGAAAGAACGATGACATACCAAATGGTTTGTCCAACATCTCCTTCATTATACTCTCGATCAATATATTTTGTTAATATTTTCGTTTTGGGATAACATTGCTGCAATGTCGCAATATATTGTGATATCTCCACAAAATGAAAACAGTGGCTCATACCCTTTTGAATTTTTCCCACACCCTATGTACGTTAAAGATCATTGATCAAAGCTATATCCACCAATCAAATCCATACAAATACCATAATAGCCAATTATTTAACAACATGCACCTAGTAGAAAAGGAGATACGCTGCTGAATGCCAGAAATCTAGAATAATGTCTACAGGAGTTTGCTTAGCCACGCAACTTCAAATCAAAATAATGCATACAGATATATTGATTAGTCCATGGAATTAACCTGCAGAAGCTCAAGAGACAAAATCCGTGTCTTGGTTGTAACTTCATCATTGTCTTCCTTCATACCCATCTGCATATTTTACTCAAAAAATCAGAGTTGCAGCTTAGAAAGTTCAAACTGGAATTAGCAGATGACACTGACGAAACAAACCTTGCAGAGGGTGCGAAAGAGCAGCAAAGCATCACGATGTCCAATGTTCATGCTCTCAAGGTCAATCCCTCTATTAATGATTTACAGTTCCAAGAACCCCAAAAGATAAAAACATATTATAATTAACCCTAACTAGCATAAATTTAATGTGAAACACAGAACATATAAAAATGGACTTTCAGCAATGTTTTTGTACCTCACTATCTTTTCACCATCTTCAAGATGCACAGCCTTGTCAAGAACAGCTTCTAAACCCTATAAAACACAGAAGACTACCACCTCATGAAAAATGGAATGGCATAACAAAGCATAGTAGCAAATTACACCCAACACACATATGAAAGCTTGGCGCATTACTAGCAGGCTGCAAGGAAAGTCTCTTGAACAGATGTGCATGGAATATGGATGGTGAAGAGCAGTACCTTTATATCAGCACCCCCAGCAAGATTCTGAAGTTCCTCAACAGATGCAAGAGATGTGTCTCTGACTTGATTCATAGAAAGTGCATCTCCCAAAGTCATTCCTTTGTCATTCTGGTCATCTAAAGCAGTCTCTTCTACTTTTGAGTTGGTATTATTTTCTGAAGCAGCTTCTTTAAGTGATGTGGCAGAGACCTGAATTACCTAGGAGACATTAGAAAAATTCTAGAATACAGATGTGGATGCATCTATATTGTTTCATCTCCTCATGCATCAGAAAAAACAACAATATTTGCAAGATGAAGTTTTGCATTCCAAACCAGATCAGTTTCCATTCGCCTGAATATGATGCTGATCATTTGGGTTAACATTGCCTTTGACGTTGCTTGGTTTATGGGACTCTTGCTAAAATCCAAACAAGATCGTATCAGCTTTGCTTGAAGTTGACATTATATTAACATTGAGAAAAATTTTACCATCACCTGTTAAGAGCAATATTATAGCATACTCTGATTACTCCAAGTAATGGTTCTCCATGAACTGCACGTCAATAAGTTGAACAGAAAATTAATATTTGGTCAAAATTTTACGTACACTGATCATAAAATTTTAGTAAAACTAATGTCAGAAATTAGTAAATCACAAAAATTGGTTGCAGAAGAAACCACATGTGACATTTTATCTAGGATTGACCATTCGTAAGGAAACATAAAGGCAACCTACTGCAATCTAATATCATGGCTCCTCTACAAAGCAGACCACACCACAAGAAAAGATATTTAGAGTTACTGTACATGGGACCTACATGCATAAAGACGGAACACAGTATACTTCATAGCTGAAGTTATATTGACAATTTCAAAGAAAATTGTTGAATTTTCTAATTTCCAAAAGTTTAATGATTATAGTAATAGAACTTACAGAATGTTATAATCTCTGCGGGATGGAAATAGTTTAGAAGGTTCCCTTATTGTATTTTCCGTTCTACCCAAAAAATAAGGTTCCCTTAATGCATATATAAAAGTACAATAGATCTCTACAAGCAAAGAACAAGGCTTAACTATTGACATCTGCCACTCTCTCTTTATATCAGTCAAGTCAGAAATATATATATATATATGACACCCACAAGGCCAAGTATGAAGCATGAATGGAATACTGGCAATCAAGAGATACAATTTCATAAAAAGAAAACTTGGGATGTGGATCTAACTAAGAAGCACAAACACGTCTAAGGAGGTGATGTGTCTGTGTTGAATGCATATCCAAACGTCTATTTTTATCTTTTTTAATTTTTTAAGACTAACACACTTTGCACACTTGGGGTAAGCACATGTCCATTGCTTAAACACACCAAGAGACCCAAGACCCATCCCCTTGCTTAATTTACTTTACACCCCCTTGCTCTAATAGTGCAAGAACAACCCCTATACATCTTATCCCACTCCTATTCCCTTGACCTCTTGCAAGTGGGAGCGCCTTGCAGGTCTGAAGAAGCCATTGGAGGAGCTTGAAGCAACTTGAAGCTTCCATTGGAGCACTTGGAGCTCCGTTTTTGGAGTAGAACTTCTCCAACTTGAAGCAATGCCCACCTCTCCTCTTCCCCTCTTGAAATTGTTAAATTTGGTAAAGCTTTGAAAAGGTAGGTTAATCCCTAGAAATTAATGCTAGACTCCATGTTTAGGTCTAAATATAAAAGAAAGAAAAGCATGTGTCAGGTTTTTGTATAGTTTCAAGGAGGTTGTTCTAGCATGAACATTAGAAATGGTTGAGGTTGTTCAGCATGTGGCTATCTTTTTATCCTTTTTCTTGAAGCATATGATATTATTATTGGTATTGATTCACCCCTAATATGTAAGAATGTTGCTAGTATGAAAATTTGGGGTTCTATGCATAAATGGTAGATACCTTCAAATTGGGATCGGAAAGATATTTGTAGTATATGAACATGTGATAAATTGGATGAGTTGCAAAATGCCAAGAGTAGGGTATGTTTGAAAAGCATGGGCAAAATGAGTATGTTGTGACTCATGGGCTAAGTGAAAGAAATTGAAACTTTAAGTGAATTACGAATGGTTTTCAAAAATATATGATTTGTTGTGATTTTTATTAGTTTCATTAGACTACTTGAGATAGTATTTGGTTTTGTAAAGCTCTCTTGAAAATTTTACATATGAATACACTAAGGATTATGACTACAAAAGGTGAGTTAATGTGTAGAAGAAATTGAAGTAATAAGATGTCTATGAGAATAATTTGGCCTCTTCGGTAAAGTTTGAAAAGCAGAATGTTATGAAACATGAAAGTGATGGTTTAATTAAAAAAGTAGCCAATTGGGTGAAACTATTAAAGTGGCCAAATTGGGATAATTGACCAAAGAAGTTAAAGTTAAGTGACTAGAAAAATGAATGAAGGATGAAAATGAGAAATTTCACTAAGCCAAGAAACTTTAATTTTGAGTTGATATATTACTAAAATTAGAGTTTGAGGTTGAAGCCTAGTGCTTGAATTTGAGCCAATATTAAGAAGATGAACGTTGGCTAGCGTTGTAAATAGAGATATGAATCTACTTAATTTGACTAACGAAATGGCCTTTGATAGAGCCACGTGGAGAAGAAGGATTCATGTAGCCGATCCCATTTGATGAGACTTATGGCTTGATTTGGTTTGGTTTGGTTTGGATTAGTAGCTTGGACTCAAGATCATTTATTGTGAGCCGATTTGACCACTTTGTGTAAGTTGTTTTGTGTGAGTTGTGTGACCAGAAATTAATATGAATATTGAGTTTGTCCATTAGTGTAAGACCGTAAACCTGAGAGCGAGATTGGTACTCATAGTCACTTGGATTAGTAGCCCAAAAATTTGTATTGGTTAGGGACTGAAGAGTGTCACCAAGTTATTAGTGCACAACTTGAGATTTGAGGCTTGGCAAAGTCGGATTATACCTTCGAATTTGGGAAATTTTTGTCCTTGAATTTCATGTTTGTTATTAAGAAAATAAAAATTCAGCAGGTTCAGCAGGAGGGGGGGAAAAGGGGAAGGGGGAAAAAAAAAGCAACATCACGCAGCAAGTAAGACTCGAACACAGGCACCACACCTAGTAAGGGAGCACCTCATCCACTAGGCCAACCCCTGGACTTATTGAATTTCAGTTAATGAGTTTAAGGAATTCGATAATTTGTTCAAGACTTATGGATCTTGGAATGCTTTGTATACTTGTACAAGTTTGGGTGAGTTCAAGGTTCAAGAAAAGTAAAAGTGATTAATTTTAAGTCACAAGATAAAAAATGGAATGAACTTAATTATGTGAAGCATTGCATCACTGATCATGTAAGTTCTGATATTTAGGCTGTTAGTTGATATTCCTATGTAGACGTCATGCTCACCCCTACAATTTTCAGGTTCAATCTTGAGGACTTGAAGTCTTGGAGACTTACCCCTATGTGGTGATTGGAAGCTTGCCTCACTTGGATTAAGCCTTGACGGCCCATTTTGATTATAAGTTTTGATTTGGAATTGTAACATGTAATAGGTAGTTATATGCTTTATATTTGGGTATGTAACTTGATATATGGTGGATGTGGTAGGATGCAAAATAGTACAAATACCAAAGTGGCACGTGTTTCATTTTGGTGAGTGGGGAGTTTGAGAGTGATAAATGAAAGTGGATCGAAATTAAAACCATGAAATGAAGTTATGATCTCAAACAACCCAAGAAATTTTGCCACGTTTAGTCGTGTAATTGAAGATTCAATAAACCCATTTTAAAGTGAAGAATAAGAGGAAATGGGAAATTACACCGTTTCTAACATATTTGTAAAATTTCACTGATGGTTTTCAAAAGTAAGAAATTTTCATTGAATCTGTGCAAGTTAAGAACAGCACTGCTTGTCCTCTAAGGGTTGTTTGATCGTTTTGTTAACGTTTTTATTTGTTGTTTTCTATTTTCATTCATTTTTTTCAGAAACTGAAAACGAAAACTTGTTTGGTATATTGTTTTCATTTTCAAAAAAATGAAATGTTTTCAAAAATCACAAATAGTGTTTCCACTTGTTTTTAAAATAAGTTTTCACTTTCTAATCTCACCCATCACTTTCGGCCACCACCCACTACCACCTCCACCGCTGGTGGGTGACGAGCTCCACCCAACCTCCCGCGACTCTACGGCGTGAGGGCGGTCACCGTCGTGATCTTCGGCCACCTCATGACCTCCACCAACATCTGACCACTAACTCCGGCAGACACCTCGCCACCCTCCCGCGACTCTACGGCGTGAGGGCAATCACCGTTGTGATCTTCGGCCACCTCATGACCTCCGGCAACATCTGACCACTAACTCCGGCAAACACCTCTGGCCACCTACCAGTGCCACTACCGGTCACCACATCCGTCCACCCTCCATCTCCAACACCAACTCCAGTAACTCATCAAATATATTTCTCTATTTTAGTTTTATTTGTTTTCAAAATATTTTTGTACATCAAACAAGTTTTATGCTTTGTTTTTCACAAAAAATAAACAAAAATCTGTTGCTTGTTTTTTGTAAACTAAAAACGTTAACAAAAGAGGCCTTAGGCGTCATATAAAATAATCCTATATGCATCAAGTTGTCCGAAGACCAATTCAAAGCTCTTTTAGGCCATTTTACATCAATTAACTAAAATCAGACAGATTTGATTTTGAATCTGCCCCAATAATCAATTTACCTTTTTTTATCTAAAACCAACAAGGCTTTGTGAGTTTTGAAGTGAAAAATGGGTTTGGCACATTTACCGATTACCCAATTTAACGGAATTGGAATCGGATTAAAAACAATGAGTTTCAAACTTAAAATGTTTCTGCAAACTTGTCTATGGTTGTTGAATCTTCACCTAAGAAGCACGGGTGCGGGTACGAGTACGGTACGGGTACGAGTGCGGGTACGTCGATACGGCAAAACCTCAAAAAAGTAGGATACGGGTACGGCTGCGGTACGCCGATATTTTTTTATTATTTTTTTATTTCGTGTTAATTTGGATTATATTATTTAATCATCTTAATCTAGTTTACTCCACCAGGTTTAGCAATCCGGGGTGTGACAAAGTGTCCTCGCAAAACAAAAACTTAAAAAAAAAAAAAGTCGGTAGTTTAGAATAGAAGTAGCAAAGAGTATAATAAATCCACATCAAAACCTATGTTACCTGGAACTTGAATCATTATGGTATGTGGAACAGGAACGGGAACGGGAACGTGGTACACCACATGATCTTAAATGTGGTACGATAGGGGTAGACTTGTCTATATTACACTTACGTATTTAAGGTACTTTAGAGTAATTTTCTTTTAACTATTATTAGGCATCCAATAAAATGTATTTTTTTCATTTTTGATATTTTTGTCTCGTCAAAACTTTACTCACCTTAGATTTTAGTTCATAATATTTGATTTTTTATCCTCCATAAGCTGACATTTAAGGAGATACATTGGAAAAAAAACTTTTGTGATCACTACGGATCATTAAATTTACCATTTTGGAACATAAGTGTACCATGTTTCGGAACGTGCATATGAAGATTTAATTCACTTGGGTATTAGCGTTTTCTAGTAACACATAATAGAACAGATGAAACATAACATCATATTTACCCTTTTAACACATAATTGTCAGCAAGTCACATTGAAAACAGCGTACACAACACTCAGTTCAGAAGATTAAACAGAACACCAAAAAAAACTACTGTTCTAACCATTGCGACATACCTCTGAATTTGGTGGATGCTACAGCAGTAAGAAGCACCTTCAACACTTGCAAAATAGTACTGCATGCCATATTTCCTCAAAAGTTACATTTAGGGGAAACTACATATATAATATTACACTTCCAAACAAACAAAGACATACCTGTCAGATGATGAATTATCCACACAACTGCAAACCATGCTAAGAATGTCTGTAAATAGTGAACCATCATCTAGACCAGGATCACCCTCTAAATGATCATATGCTATGAGTTTCTGTGCTCACAGAATTTAATCAAAATAAGTTAGTACCAACAATGAATCTGATACATGCATTGTAAGTTTCAGCAAATTATCAGTCAGTGCAGACCTAAGTTTTTTAATACGTAATGGGATTTCAGAAGATCGTCAACTTCATCATACCAAACATAAGGATCATAAAGAAGATGACTCAAGAAGCAAAAACTTTTCAAACTCAAGTATGACAATCAAAAGAAGCACGTACATGTAGACAATCCAACGCCAGCTCTATGACTTTCATGTTCTTTGTCTCAAATGCAAGTCGGAGTGGATTTAAAACAAGGTCTGCCTCAGCTCCTTCCAAAGTATGCCCAGCATTTGCTAAGGCTGTTGTAATAGTTCCCCTTGCTCCCAATGGCTTGCTAATTTGTTCTGGCTCATCAGCATCAGTTTCAGGCAAACTACAAGGATAGTGGTCCCAAGAAATGAAAATCATGTCTGATTAAAAATAATTTTTCAAAAAAACTACAGACCAAACAAACATATGAAACAGAATCATGCAGTTATGCATACTGTTAGAACACATCTTGGCCTGTCAATGGACTAGATCTGAACACACATCTGATCTAATAACACCAGATGAAGTATATTTACCCATAGTTGTCAAATCGGGATTCGTATTGTGAATCGAAATGGCCTCGTACCGAATCGCGAATCGAATCGAATCGTGAATCGTAAAGATTCGGTCACTTTTTTTAAATTACTTAAAAACATATATCTACATATTTAAATGTTAAATATATCTTATGAATATAAAATATTTAGACTTAAATCAACAAAAATATTATTTTGAATGATAATCACCTAATTTAATAGGTAAGAAGTTAACAAAGATTCCTATGTAAAATCACCAACTTACCTTCTTTTTTTTTTTTTTTTTATAGATATTTTTTATCAACCATTCTTAATAAAGATAATAACCAAATAGACAAACTATTAATTTCTAAAGTAACAATAGTTAACAACGATATTGATATTTGGACAATAAGCACATATACTTTTCTAAGGGGTTGTTTGGGGTGTCCTAAATAAGTGCACTTTTTATCTTTTTGGACTAAAAAATTGAGGAAAAAATATTGATATTTGGGTTAACTTTTTGACTTTTTATGGAAAAATGTGTAATAAAAAATTGTAAAAATTGATATTGTAGAGGAAAAATTAGAGATTGGAGTTGTGCAACCGTAATTGCTGATCTTTTGGTGAAATAGTCGTCAACTTTTTAACTTTTTAAGATACTTTTTGGACTTTTTATAATATGCCAAAACTTTGCCTAAGTAAGAGTAAGCAAAATATAAAAAATAATTATTTAGGATATTTTATTTTAAAGCCTAAAATATTTTAAAAGGTATAACTGACCTCACACATGTAATATTCAATTTAATAAAATAGTAATAGATAATTCATAGTGTAACTTTAATCTTAAACATCTTTAGAAGATATATTACAATTTTTTGAAGGGAAAAAAAATGAGAAGAAATGCTAAAAATATGTTAGGTCTGACTAAATCTGATTGGATCCTATAAAAAACTCCATGATCACTAAAATAACAACAAATCATATACATATGTTGGTTATTTTGGTATTAAATGCTATTAGAAGGTGTATTATGTTATTTTCACTAAAAAGATGAAAAAAATGAGTCGAAAATATGTCGAACATAATAATTTCAAAAATTGCATGAATCGTAAAAAGTGAATCGAATCGTGAATCGATTGTGAATCGTGCGATTCACTAGAGATTCACTTCCAAAATAGATTCACTCATAGATTCGTATCGATTTTGCAAAAATTGTGTATCGAATCGCGAATCGAATCGCGAATCGTAAGATTCTGATAACAGAGTATTTACCTAACACAATATGTATGATCCCAGAGAAAACCTCCACCATCCAACTGATAAGAATATGTTCAATGAACAAAACATACCAGAAAATGGTGCACATACAGGCCTGGATGATAGAAGTAAAGATATTCTCATAATTCATACCAGCCAAGATATTTTCACACATGCCACGCACAGAAGAACAAAAGGGGGAAAATGGATGCAGTAAATGTTTTGCACAAGAAAGGGGAAAATGCAGCAGACTATAAAATAGTCCACGGGAATAGACCTCTGTTCTCCAGCCAAAGTTGACACTTGATTTGCCTCTCCAGAAACTGATTGCTGATTGACCTCTTTCGCACTGTCTGAAATCAGAGGAAAAAATACATGAAAGGTCCGATAAGCATTAAGATTGACAAAATCAACTCGAGCTAAAAGGAAGTGAAAGCATGGAAAACTTTTCAAAACCTTATCAACACAGCTAGGAAGAATCGTTTCTGACAAACATATTATGAAAGAGAGAGATCACTCCCACACAGACCACCACACACACCCAACCATTCCACCCACTCCTATGACCTACCTCCTCCTTTATGTCTACTATAAGAAACAAGGACACTTCTAAAAAGATAACATGTCATGTCCGACACAGACATGACATGACACTCGTCAGACAATTCCCAACACTTCGAAACATATGAAATACTATACGAGTTTGAATAAATAACTTGTAATCCAATGATAAAACAAAAACAATGTAAAATTATACATTTTTTCCACCTTTAGACTTAAAAAAATTACTATCTTTGACTCTCTTTTTTTTTTGATAAATAAAATAAATTATATAGAACCAAAAGCATCAAGAAGATGTTAAAAAGAATACAAATCAAAACCACCAAAGGGAGCACTCAACCAATCACTTCATTTATGAAATCTAAAAAGGTAAACAAATGGAGATCCACCTCCCCAAATACCCAACCACACAGAACTTGAAGAAATCTCCTCTCTAACCAAGATACCAAACAAGCAACCTCTTGAAAAATTCGACGGTTCCACTCCAACCAAAGCAACTACATTAAACATAAACGAGCCAAATCCCAAGCCTCTCGACGCCCCAACACCAGAGAACCTCCAACACCCCCTTCATTTGCACCCACTGAACACCAAAGGTAGTAAAAATAAGAGCCCACATTCTAGAGGCCACCGGACACTGAATAAGCAAGTGATCCACTAACTCCGCATCAACGCATAAGTGTTATTAAAGGCGCGCCTAGGCCCAAATCCCATCCAGGCCCAAGATTTGCGCCTTGTAGTATTCCAGACCAGGCGACTTCGATAAGTCGCGCCTAGGCCCAAGTCCCATCCAATCCCAAGGTTTGTGCCTTGTAGTGTTCCAGGCCATACGACTGTGATAAGGCGCCTGATTGGCCCAAGGCTTGCATCTTGAGGGCTTTTTTTATTGTTGCTTTAATTGGTTTTGTTTAAAATCTAATCATTGATTTAATATGATGCAGCTACAGAAGATCCCTACTCTTATTACAGATGCCAATACATTGGGCATTCAACCCCAAATCAATGATAGCAGAAAAATTAGCCCTAATTCCTAATCTCTAAAAAACACTAAATGTTTAACATTTCATTTTGTTTATGTTAAATCCTAAATTATTTGCTTACATTAAATTATATTTTTTTTTCCCGTACAAGGTGCGCCTCACTTCGGTGAAGCCTGCACCTCGCCTAATGCCTTGAGCCTAAGTCCCAGGAGATCTTGGCGCCTTGGTGCGCCTATCACCTTTAATAACACTGACGCATACAACAACAATTAACCAAAACATGCCCATGGCGAACCAAATTATCAATAGTAAGGATTATGCATAACAGTTGTCCAGACCAAAAATGCCACCTTGGATGGGACATCAGCAACCCAAATCCACCGCCAAGGGAATTCCACCGCCACACCTTCACACAAACCCCAATAATAAGAAGAAATTAAGAAAACACCCTTAGAACCAACCCCACCCCAACCCAACCCAACCCAAAACATCCTCCCCCCGCCCTCTACTTGCAACCCATAAAGAAATTTTAATGAGTAACAATTGACCAACCTCCCAATCATGAACCTATCGGCGAAGAACAAGCCCAAACCACACAAACCCCCTGCTCCAACCCCCCCACAATAAGAAGCCACAACCACCTCCGGATCCAATGCCAAGCGAAAAATCAACAAGAACCAAACTTGCAAAACCTCCTCACCACACCACCGATCCTGTCAAAACCGCACCCTCTCTCTCGAACCCACTTAAAACCGAATTTGTTCCCAAAACTCCTCCCTGCCTAGCCAATTTCCTTTCCACAGCCCACAGCCCACACTCATGCGACCCACCCACACTTCCCGTACTCCATTCCCCCCAATCCATCCCATACTTTACAGCCACCACTCGACGCCACATTTTTCCCTCTCTTAGGCAAACCTCCACAACCACTTCCCCAACATAGCTTAATTAACAGTGCACAACCTCTGCACCCCCAAACCCCTTACCTCCTTTGACCAACAAACCCGCTCCCAACTAACTAAATGATAACGAAACTCCTCCTAACCCCCTCCCCACAGAAAATCCCGTTGCAACTTCTCCAAACAACGCGCCACCAATACCGGAATTACATTAACCGACATAAAATAAGTCGGAATGCTGTCCAACACAATCTTCACCAAAGTTAATCTCCCCACTTAGACAAATACTGCCTCTTCCACTTTGCCAGCCACCATTGAACCCTCTCAATCACTCCATTCCACACTCTCTTAACCTTAAAAGAAGCCCCCAACAGCAGACCCAAACAGTCGCCAAGGTTAGATGTTGATCCACATCCCCGACAGGAATCAATTCCGACTTTTCCAAGTTCCCCTTAAGCATCGAGCCCGCCTCAAAACACAACAAAACACAACGTAAGTGAGCCAATTGCTCCAGCTTAGCACCACAGAAAATCAAAGCATCATCCACATACAAAAGATGAGAAACCACAAACGGATCCTCCTGCACAGTCCTTACCCAAAAGCCTTCCAACAAACCACCCCGCACAGCCTGAGTCAACAATCTACTAAACGCCTGCATAACCATAATAAAAAGGGGAGATAAATGTATAAAATTATATATTTTGCACATGTCCTGCACGTGTCGTGTCCTACATATTTTGAAAATTTGTGTGTCAACATGTCTACATCGTATTATGGGTCGGTGTCTATACTTCTTTGTGTTACTTAGCAAGACAATCCAAACGATAAAAACTTTGAAACCATATATCTATATAACAACAATACATACACACACACATATATATATTAATAGTTGGCACACGAGATGCGTGTGCAATTAAAATAAGTAAAATTAAAACGAAACTTTTACTATATATGGTGTGTCATGCAAGTGGTAAGAGCCTCATTTATTAAATCTAAGGTCCAAGGTTTGAGTCCTATTCTTGTCAATTATCTACTCTCTTTTTTTCTTTACAAATAGGAAAATGAGGACATGTGGCATAAGGAGCAGCCACCTAAGTTTGAACACCAAAGTGAGTTGTTCACTTCTAATAATAGTGTATATATATATATATATAGAGAGAGAGAGAGAGAGAGATCAAACAAGTCCAACTAACCAAGCATGGATATGGATACAAGATATAGGTACGTATGACAAATGAGGACAAAAATAGTAGAAAACAAATATGTTAAGGATAGGTTATATAAAATTGAGAAATGCTATTTGTCACCGGATTTATTTCACCTCATAGGTGTATTCCTACAACAAAAACCATGTGTACGAATAAGAACCACCATAGTTAAGAAATAGTGAGACTTACGACGCCACATGAAAAACCACATAGGAGTTGAAGAATTGCAGTGAAATATTTAGATGATATATAAAAACCTTATATATATTATATATGTAGCATATAGATTGAAAAGTAATTTTGTCAAAACATATACATAACAAACTGTGTCTTTATTTATCTACCAAATATTCTCAATTTCAAACCTATCAAAACAGAAAGGATTAGGTTATTTTATTTGGACACTGAAGCAAATTTGACATGCTTTAATCTCAATATTTCCCAATTATTCTTCTCTAATAAGAAAGCAGTTTTTCTTTGGTCATTTGGTTAGAAATAAATACAAGAGTCTTTGAGGATAAGTGTGAAGATCTTGGGGGCTTATGTGACAAAATTTGTTATTTGTCTTCTTTTTGGGATTCGGTCTCTCCTCGCTTCAAGGGGATTCCATTATTTTTTACCTCTAGATTGAGGGTTGTATGTGACTTATTACTTTTCTTTTTGCATGGACTTATTGTCCTCTTCAATCCTTATGAACATCCTTTCCATTATTTTGGTAAAAAGTTTTGTTTCCTTTTAAAAAGAAATAAAGTATGCAATTATTGAAAACTGTTCTTGTATTTATCCTAACAATTAAACTCTTGTGCTACACAAGATATGTCACATCTCAGTTTTAAGATAGGTTACGTGACTTAGAGTAACTAAAAGTATCCAATAATAATTCTTCAACATTTAAGTAAATTAACTTCAAACTGTGGATACATTTAAAAAGTGCCTAAAACATATCCGCAACTATTCAAGAAGTATCGGCATCTATAACAAATACAATACGGATATGACTTCACTCTAGAAGTGTCCATTTCCATAGCTCATCAATAATTGTTCATCTAAAACAACTTAAATATTTGTCCTCCATTAGCATCAAATTCGTAATTTGGGGGCTTTGTAATTCAAGATGTAAAACAAAATGACACAAAAATAAGGGCTAAAGGCCATAGGAAAAGCTCTTATGAATTTGAAAAGTTCATAGGTAAAGCTTGTACGGTGGCTCAAATAAAGGTAGATTATTAGGGTAGCAACCCACCATTGATGGCTACATGTGTCTTAGTTCCCTCAAACATGGAAGATGAATAAGGAAGTGAGACTTAATTTAAACATGATGATACATAGGTCAACTCTAAAAATTCATAACCCAAACCATTCCAACAGAATAAACAGCTATACCGACTTTGTACAAGGTATAGAACAATGAGCAAAGTTGTACTCTATAATTACAAAGGCTTAATATTTATAAAGCACAGACACCTCTTCGGAGGTCCACGTGCAGGCGTTCAACCCGTGTCGTACATAGACACAAACAATTTTATAATTTAAAATGTTATTAAACAAATTAAGTTAAAAATTAAAAATTAATTAAAGTCATTTATGATAATAAATTAAGGTAGCAAGATTAATTTATAATTTAATTTGTTTTTTAAATGTATATGTTTAATTTAAAATGTTATTAAATAAGGTAATTTTATGGTAATAAATTAGGGTGTTTAGTTCACTTTATGATTTAATTTGTTATATACATATATGTTTATATTAAAATGTTACTAAATAAAAAAGTGGGTTAAAATTAAAAATTAGATTAAGGTAATTTTATGGTAATAAAGGCGTTTTGGATGGTTTGGTAAAATAATAACCTATATGATGTCATTTGCTTATATAGCGGATGGCAAGGTCATTTTTGTATCTTCAACAAACCATTTTTGGAGGGAAAAACATAAAACAGAGGCATACATGCACATCAGCCGCGTGTAACTCACCTCCCATTTGTTTGGATGGAAAAGTTAACAGTTGCCCATTAGTCCAAAACCACAGGGGAGGTATCTATATATATTCAAACTAAAGCGGGGTAAAGTGCTCGAGCATCAAACCACAAGGAGATAAAATGCTTTTTGCCCAAGAAAAAAATAGCCTACGAATTCTTTAAAGTAAAGAGAATCCACAAAATCTACAAATCAGCCAAGGTTAGAAAATAATTTCCAAGACAGTTGACCACCCAAAATAGCCACACAAAAAATAAATAAATCTTGAACCTATACAAAGATTCCTCTACACCTTGAAAAGATCATCTATTATGTTCCATAGAAGCCACATCAAACACAATAAAGCTAGACATCATTCCTTCCCCCCTCCACTTCCCCATTTTTCCTACTTAACAACTGAGCATGACCCTTGCCAGGTTGCCACATCTCTCTAGCATCCCCAAAATCAAGCCCCACAAATCCCTAGTGACCTTACAATGAATAAGCAAATGAAAGAATGATTCACTATCACCCTTGCAAAGGGAACAACAATTAACAATAATATGTCACCTCCTAGCTTATCAATCGTAATGATCTTATCAAGTGTTGCATTCCACACACATAAGGCACCGTGGATAGAGCCAACAATCCACATGTCTTTCCACAAAAAGGTAATATCACGTTCCCCCTCAAAGCCCCCATATAAGACCTCACATCAAACCTCTGGTTCTTAGCTACAACCCACCATAAAGAGTCTTCACCTTCCCAAACACCCATAGTCTCGCAAAGTATATTCAGAAGATTAATCAACTGCCCACTCCCCAATCTTGTACATTCCATCTCAGCCCAAATCCCAAAAAATCTCATTACCTGCACCTCAAACATAATGAGCCATCATGGCTTCTTCATAAAGAGCAAAGAGAAAATTTGAAGAAAATGCTCTCTGCAAGACATCATCTCCACACTAATTATGCTGCCAAAACTTCACCTTATCCACCCCTCCCCCACCTTGAAACTACCAAATCTCAAAAATCATCCCTGCTATGAGGCAAGGTCATCTCCAAAAGAAGTCCAATCACCCCAAACCTTTCTCCAATATCAAATCTTCAAAACCATTTCCCCACAAGAGCTTTGTTAAAGATACTTGGTCTCCTAACTCCCAAGTCTCCTATTATTGGGTTACAAAACGTACCCCAACCCACAAGATGGTATTTTAACTCTTCTCCTACACCACCCAACATAAAATCTAGCGGCAACTTCTCAAGCCTTCTAGCTACCAAACCTAGAATAGTGTGCAAGGACATGAAATAGGTCAAAAGGCCTGACAGTGCTCTATTGAGAATGAGTCAACCTCCCAGACAAATATAGTCTTTTCTTTCTATCTTGCCAACAGATCCCACGTTGTCTTTTGACTTAAAGGAAGACACCAAAGGTAACCCAATTTATGTGATTAGAGGGGTAACTGCATTTCATCCAATAATGGAAGCCAACTCACTAACATTTAGAACTTCTCCTGTAGAAATCAGCTCTGCCTTATCTATGTTTACCTCCAAGTCAAAACAAACTCAAAAACACAAGGATCTATGTTATACAGATTTAGGTACACATTTCGAGTGTCGGTATGTGTCGAAGTGTACAGTTCATCTTATTCTCGTGTCCAAGAACACCAAGACACATCTAGATTTCAAAATTTTCAAAAAAACTTACTTTAATTATTTTAGAGCATAATAGTATTTAGAAATTGTACAACATGTTATACATATTCGAGTCTTGTGCATAATTATATAGTAAAGCTAACTATTTATACATACCTATTGGGTGTATGTCCAACTACACATATCTCATGCCCTTATCCGTGTACCAATTATCAAACATGAGTACTTTAAATTTTTAAAAGAGCCCATATGACATTGCAAAAATAAGTCAACTAAATTGAATCTACCCGACAAAAAATCATTGTATCATCCACATACAAAAGAAAAGAGACTACCATCAAGAAGCCCCCTATCTAACCCAGTTTGAAACCCTCAATGGATAACCCTTGGACTATCCAGCCAATCATCCAACTCAATGCCTCCATTAGAAGAATGCATAGCAACGGAGACAACGAGCCACCAAGCTTCAAACCACTCAAATCTTCAAAGAATCCAGCAAGTGATCCATTAACCAAAAGCAGCAACCCCAAAACATAGCCCTTTCTTGCACCCTTACAAGCCCTAAAACCCTATAATTTACATGTTTATAATTTACATATTTAACCAAAAAAACCAACAAATACAAATCAAAAGCATTCGTTTGTTGTCTATCTAACATCACTTTCAACATAAAAACTTGTTAGATAGTGTTCCTTGCTCTTGCCCTACAATACATAGGCTTCAAAACACCTCAATTCACCACTCTTAAAACCACATACAAAACCTACATTCCCCCCACCACACAAAAAAAATTATGTAAAAACTACAAACATGACCCTTAAAAATTGTACATTTTTTGTTAAACAACGTGAGCTGGAGAGATTAAGACTAAGAAGGACAAAATGAAATAGCATTAGTTACACAAACATCCCCAAACTATAACCGAATATCACTTTACTCCCTCAACTTTAAAACTGTACAATTAAACCCATCAACTGTACAAAACTGTACAAATGTACGGTCTTAAAATTGAGAGGGTAAAGAGACAATTAAGGGGGTGTTCATGCAATTAACCCAGTAAAATATTACACTAGGGCGTTTATGATCCTAAACTATGATGGGCCCCTTTTTATCCTTCCTTGGCCTTCTCTACTGGACTTAAATCATTCTCTCAAAGTGGGACAAAGTTCAACCGCCAACTTGAACTAAATCTAGACATTGACAACGCAATACATGGAGCTCACTTGATTGAAAGCCTATGTTGCATTAAGTATTGTAATAAATCAAATTTTAGGGAGGTTTCAAACTTGACCAAAAGACCAATGTCGACGTCAATATTGGGATGCGTCTGATTTTAGTTGCATAAAACTCTATTATTAGGTAACTCCTATTTCTAGTTTTATATTTAAAATTGTAAGACTTACAATTCTCTAACAAAAAAAACTCTCGAAATTTGATGAAGGGGGAAGAGAGAGAGAGAGAGAGATTCAATTTTTTTCTGATAAGTAAATCAAATTTTATTCAAAAAGGGATTGAGGGAATGCCACCCATGTACAAAAAGAATAAAGAAAACCAAAGAAGACTATACAACCCCACTAGTGTCAAAAAAACCCTATGAAGTCTAAAAATTGGTCAAGAGAATGGATAGTAACATAGAGATATTTTTAATATGACATAGTTTACAATATATGAACAGAAAGTAAGAGAAAATGGAAACAGACAGCACAAAGTTTTAAGAATTATACCATAGCTTTTTATTTAAATTTTTTTTCTTGTCTTGGTTTCAAGCTACAAAAAAGGTGAGGAGTGACTAGCCTAACAAAAAGTAGTGTGATTAGCCTTCTATAAGCCCCTTGATGAGCAAGTTTTGAAAAGACATGAGGCTCTTCATAGGACACTAGTTCTCCAGAAATTCAGAGCAGTTTAATCTAAATTTTATATTGAAGAGGAAAATGTGGCAAAGCATGTCGTCAACAAAACAAATGAGTTGTATACAAGCACGACAAAAAATCAAGTTGGCTGCAAAAAGTGAGATCAGATCTGAGTGATGAGCACACACAGGCATAGACACACACACACACACAAAGAAATAACCTAGATAATTCTGAATAGCCGTCTGGAGTGCAGGATATTTCTTAGTGGAACACTCCTTGAGCATTGATTCAAACGCCCGAGTAAGGAACCCGCCCGCAGCACCGCCAGACATCTCTTCTGTCTTCTTCTGTTACACATAGAAACACAAATACAAATTCACAGAAAGCAGCAAATGAGAGAACGAAAGCGTTAAGGGACTGAAATAAGAGAGATTCGTTGCTCAATCAGAATGTATGGATGCGATTAGATTAGATGAGATTAGATCAATATAATTCTTCTAACAAATCCATCAATATAATTCTTCTAACAAATCAATTAATTATTAGATTAGGGCAAGGATCACTCTCCCTCCCGCTATGCCATAGACAAGCGTGAGCATCCAACATTTTTTAATCGATCATACTTACCTTCTTCAGCAAAGGACAATTTTCTTCAGCAGATGTGTTGGTGGTGACTTCAGCGCTGAGAAACCAATCTGAGATCTACAGAGAGGGAACGCAGGGAGAATACCAATCTCCTTTCCTCCAACTTAGTCCTTGTTTGGGAAAAGTTAAAATATGAGGTTTAAAAAATTAATATATTTGAAATAATTTTAAAAAAAATTTATAAAAAAATATGTGAAAAATAGAAAAAAAATAAAAAAAAAAATTTGACTTTTTAATATAAATTATTAATTTTAAAACTTTTTTAATAATTTTTTTACTAAAATCACCACTTACCAAACAGGCCTTAATGTTGTACCGGGTGCAACACACACTCAAATTACCACAATTGTCTCACTTTTTATGCCAAAATGATCGGAGCTTTTCCCAAACTAAGCCTTTTTTGCATCCTATTTCCCAAACTAGGCCTAGTTTGGACGGAGTTCCAAAACTAAGCTAAAGCGCTATTACAAATCGCGCTTTCACTGTTTGGAGCCTAAAATTTGATGAATAGTGAAAGCGCTATTGTAAAATGCGCTTTTAATTAATAAATCGCTGTTTTAAATCGCGCTTTTAACATAAATTTTTTTTAAAAAAAAAACGCTATTTGAAATAGCGCTTTCACTGTGTATATAATTTTATTTTTTTTTTAAAAAACGTTATTTAAAATAACGTTTCTACTGTTGAAAACCAAAATCCAAAACCAACCCACCCTCTGACTGACATACGCACACACCCACACACACACCCACGACCAACCCACACTTTGAACCATTAAAATAATATAATTTTTATATATAATAATAATTTATAATAATAAATTATATAATTTTTATAAATATAAATCATTTTTAGGTTATGAATGGTTTGATTTATAACACGTATGTAAGGGTAAAAAATTTTATAATCAAAAATAATTTTTACAATTTTTATAATAAAAAATAATTTATAATACGTATGTATTATTTAAATCTTTACATTTTTTATTTAAAATTTTTTACAGTAAACCCATCTTCACATTTTATAATACGTATGTATTATATATTTTATGTTGTGTTTAATTATAATATTTTTTTTTAATTATGACTTAAAAAGTATGTAATTATATTTTATTTTTTTTAGTTATAAGGGATATATGGTACACATTCTTAATCCATATTAGTTAGGGCGCTCAAGCAAAAAATCTAAATTTGAATTTTCTTTGGTCAAAAATTCACCCACTAAACTTTTATGTCCATAAGGACATACTCAAGTGAAATGACCAAACTATATATATATTGTTTCCAAACCGAAAACCCTAATAGCCTCTCTCTCTCTCTCTTCCACTATATTTGGATTGGGTGATTTGGAGAGAAATGAAATGAAATAGAGAGATATGTATTTCTCTTACTTGTTTGGATAACTTAAGTGGAAAGAAATGAAGAGAAACAGAGAGAAACTCGTTTCTCTTATAACCCTCATTTTCAATCTTCCCAAAAGTAGAGAGAATGAGAGAGAAAATAAACCAACATATTCTTATATTTTCATAATACCAATTTTGCCCTCTGTAAAAATAAAAGAAATAAAATGATTGGTATTAATGTCCTTAAGGGCTTTTCATATCCAGCACAATGTTTTTGACTCTCCACTTCTCTAGCTCTCTCCGCTTTCTTCTGGCTCTTATTTGCCGTGCAAGTAATCATCTTTCCTATTTTCATTTTTGATTCTGTTATGTATATATGTAATATATATATATATATATATATACTATTACGCATAAGAAAAGCTATTCTTGATAATATGTACTAGTACGCATAATATATACTATTCCTCATAAGAACAGAATATACATTCTGTTATATATAAGAAAGAAAAGTTAGCCCTAATTTTGTTGTTCAGACTCTATATATGTATAGGTACATGTATATATATATATTATTGAAAACTCCAAAAATATATGTATTCTATTATATATATATATATATATATATATCTGTGTGTGTGCATATATATACTATTTATCATTCAAGAAATTTGAGAATATGCATATATATTTTGTTATATATGTATTCTGTTATGTATATATATATTATTTACCATACAAAATTATATATGTATTCTTTTTTCGTGCTCTCAAATTGTTGGTTCCATTTTTCTTGTATCTTTCACAAATTTCCTTCATCTCTTTGCATTTTGCGTGTCGTGACCCCTATTCAATCTATAAATCTTCTATTATGCACATGCATAAATTCTATGGAAATCAAGAACGTAGTGACAAAGCCACAACAATTGTTGTGTTGGCTTTAATAATAGAATAGATATATGGGTTGATTGGTTTGTTTATCATGTAAATAGTGTGAAATAAAAAAATAAAAATTTGATTGATGTTTTGATGTTTAGTATACTAATTTATTTTAATTAAAATTAAAAACAATACAATTGTAACTCACTGAGCACTTGATAAAAATGGTTAATTGTTTATTCATGCTGATTAATGTTTTAGATGTGTATAGTATACTGATTTATTTTAATAAAACAAATATAGGATAAATGGATCAGCAAGACAAAGAACTAAGAAAGGGCTTGATTATGTGGGATAGAAGCAAAAGTTAGCTATTGTTCAAGTTGTTTGCCATGTGGTATATTGGTATATGCAGAGAAAATATCACCTAATGAAGTACGTGGACCATTCTATTAATTACTTGAAGAAAGAAAAAGTGAGGATTGAACTAATGACACAACTTAAATGTATTCAGAATTGTCGTAATATCACCCGTATGGGGCCCCAAGCATTTCAAGATTTGTGTCATATAATTAAAAGAAATGGTGGTCTGAAACCTACAAAACGTGCAACAGTTAAGGAACAAGTTGCAAAGTGTCTTTACATTTTGTCACACAGCGTAACGAATAAAAATGTTTCATTTTTCTTTCGTCGCTCCGATGAGATGTAAGTCGGCATTTTTATAGTTTTTTGAGAGCTCTTATATCATTGGAAGCTCGATTTCTTTGCCAACCTAATGGATCAGAAGTCTCTCCAGAATACTCAATAATAATAGGTTTCATTCATATTTTAAGGTAAAAATTCCATATTACATTTCGCTTTACATTTTTAGTTTTATTTCTATATAAAACTGCCACATGATACATTTATCTTAGGATTGTATTGGAGCACTTGATGGAACACATGTTCATGTTAAAGTAACTAGCAAGGATGCGTCGAGATATCATGGTAGAAAAGGATCATTAAAATGTATTGGCTTTATGTTCATTTGACTTAAAATTCACTTATGTCTTACCTGGAAGGGAGGGGATTGCATCTGATTCAAGGATCATTAAAAATGCCACGCTTAGATAATCTGAAACTTTGGTTAAATTATATAGATTTAGGGGTTAATATATGTGTTTTGTTTTAAATAGGCAAATTTTATATTGTTGATGTGGGGTATGTGTTAAGGAGTGCCCTTATCCCTCCTTACAAAGGTGTGCGTTATCACTTGAAAGAGTATTCCAACCATCCGCCGGAAAATGCTCGAGAGTTGTTTAACCACTGACATGCTTCTTTACGCAATAATGCCATTGAGAGATCTTTTGGTGTGCTAAAGAAATGATTTCCTATCATAGCAAGCACAGCTGAGCCTACTTACTCGATTAACACACAATCAGATATCGTAACAGCATGTTGCATCTTACATAACTTTTTAATAGGTGTAGATCCAAATGAAAAACTTATTTTTGAAGTAGAAAAAGAGATTGAAAATCAATGTCAAACTCAAGAAATGACTCGTGCACCAAGGGATACCAATGAGGATGCAAAACAAGGGGAACTCATTAAAAATGTGATAGCAGTTACAATGTGGTCTAATTATGTTGCTAACAAAAGTGATATTTTAGTTTTTACATGTTTGCTGGCCATCTTGATTTTATGTGATAAGTACTTGAACATCGGATCGGATGTATCCATAACTTTGTTATTGTGATGACATTATTGTGGTTTATGATGTTACTTTGAATTTATTTTGTTGTAGATTCGGGTATATCCATAGCTTTGCTATTGTGATGACATTATACTGGTCTATGATGTTACTTTGAATTTATTTTGATGTAGATTTTATAAATGGGTAAAAAAACACAGAAGTCCAAAATTTCTAAGAGAGAAAAACTTTCATGGACAAATCAAATGGATGATGCATTGATTGATGCATTGTATCACCAACATGTTGAAGCAAATAGGGTCAATGAAACTTTCACTACTTCAGCATATGATAGAATAGTAAAGGAATTATGTGAGATATACAACTTGGACTTAGATAAGGCCAAAGTCAAGAATAGGCTAAAAACTATCAAAGAGCATTTTGCTGAGTGTTATGATTTATTCAGACATACTAGTGGTTTTGCTTGGAGCCCAGTTACAAGAATGTTCACTGCTGAACTTGAAGTTTGGGAGGCATTGATTGAGGTATCTCAATTAAATTCAGCTTATGTTGATTTTTTTAAAAATTAGAAAAACATAATTTATATTTAACTATAACTTTTCTATTTTGTTTTTTTTTTTTTTTTTTTTTGGTAGAAGGTGAAACCACATGCTGAGAAATGGAAATGTACACCAATTGGCAACTATGAAAAGCTAGCTGAGATCTATGGGAAGGATAAGGCAACTGGTGTTGGTGTTGAAACTACTAAGGAAAAAGTACGATGATGGGCTAACTCATCAAATGATGATCATGTAGATAGAATTGAAGTCATTGATGAACTGGTGCACCAAAATGAAGCAAACTTGGAATGTTTTAATCTTGTGGATGAAGATGTTGTACTATCTCCTGAAAGTGGAACATCTTCGAAGGCAAAGAAAATAAGGCTCTCAAATGATGGTGAGAGGGACGTTGACATACTGAAGACAGCATTATTGCAGGATATCGCATTAGCTATATCATAGGGAAATGCTTCTATGGAGAAATCCCAAGGATTTTTTCTAAGAAGAGAGTTGCATAAAGCATTAGAGGAAATTGGAATTGCGCCACACTTATATACTGAGGCATACCTTTTTCTTACCAAGAAATCTGAGAGGATGATGCAATTCCTTGGTTACCCAGTGGAGTATCACAAGGAAACTTTAGAAAGCATGATGTATGACTCTGAGAATCGTTGGTAA